AAGACCAAGTATGTAACCATTGAAATTAATACACTTTGTGAACCATGTGAAAATGCATGAAATCAATCTATGCGTCGTTATCCGGGTTCACCACATCGGGACCTGGGTTTTGAGGACCAATTGGTCCATGACAATTTCGTTTATCATGCTCTGGTACTTTGCAGATGGAACACCGCCTTGGCCCTCGCGGTGGTCTTCCACTTTGATCCATCTCATTTGGAATCCTTTTTACCCGCGGGCGACCAGCTTCACACCTAAGTTTGATTGGTGGGATGATGACCTTACCCTAATAGACTGGCCAGTAAGCTTCGTCCAGAAAATCACGAAAACTCTTTCCATAACTGCTCTTTTGTGAGTCGATGTTGAAGAACGGACTGACAAAATGACGAGGGTCTTTGCCCTGTGCTTGATTACAGCAATTGCATGGGAACAAGGTATACCTCTACCCTAAAGTTTATGGTGACTTCATGGTGATGACTCCCACGTATCTCATCCTCCCAGTGGCCGGTCTAGACCGAATACTCGCCAGCGTTTCGGTTCATAACATTGACCGTGTGCCAAGAGCTCTTCCTATTATCTTTTTCCATTATTTCGGTGGCCTTATCGGAGTGTACCTTACCCTATGGCTCCCTTTTCTCAGCCCAGTGGAGACGGTTAACCAACCATGTGTTCGTTTTCCAGAATGTCATCTCAACAATTGCAGCGATGGGGAGTGCACGACATGCCCTGCAGACGTTGTTGATACTCTCGCTTGAGTTCGTTGTGCCAATGCCCCATCTGGTACCACCATCCTTATGATAAGTCCACATTTTTAGGTCATGTTCATCAAGCCACTGCGCACCTTCAGGGCATAGCTGACGGATATTCTGCATCTTCTCTTAAAATGTCTTCTCTTGGTAAGCGACAACTAATGAATTTACAAATAAAAGCTTAAGGTAAGCAAGGTATCCGTTTTGATTGTTTTCAAAAGAATTTGAGCAATACAATTACACTCGTAAGACTCTTAGGAGAGGTATACATCTCCTTAGAAACACAACATGTTTGACAGAAAAATGGGGGATTCGAGGATCGCTTAGAACCCGATTTTCCTAGGAAATGGGAGGATCATAATGATCGTTTAAGACCCCATTTCATTATACATGCATTTCTTTATAAAGAGTCTAAATAAGTGTTGTATTGTATTGATTTAGTATCGTTTTCCAGTTAACAAAATTATTAGACCAATGAAATTGAACTCTTACCGGTCCACCATAGACTATCAGCAAGCATCTTTCGCTTGAAATGATGGTTCTAGTTGCTATTGAAATGTCGTATGCACCATCTCTGTGACCACTTTCAGGTTGGATCCAAGCCTAAGATGGCAGCCCTTATACCGGCGTGGCGATCAGAGATTATGGTTAGGTTCGTCCGCCTGGTAACGTGGAGTTGAATTTGTCTGAAGAATCATCCATAGCTTTCGGTATTCTCTCCCTCGACAATGGCAAAAGCTAATGGAAATACTGCTCTATTTGCATCTGCTCCGCTGGGATCAGTAGAGTACCCTTGTACTTGTCGGTAAGGAATGTTCCATCAACTTGAATTACAGGAACACATAATGGAAACCATCAATACATGGCTTGAATGACCAGAAAATATGCTTGAAATGGTGCTTGTTACCGGGCTCCGGCGGCTGAATTTCTTCATCTTGGTAGTGGGAAGAGAAAATAGTGTCAGGGTTAGACCCCTCCAATGCCAAAATCAATCTGTATGGAATGCATATGATTCTTCCTAGTCACCAAATACGACGGCCATTGCTTTCTGCTTTCCATGCCACGTCCCCTTGTAGTTAATGATATATCCATAACGACTAGAAATATCGACGATGATGGTTTTAACCACCAGGTCGGGCTGCTCCTCAATTAGTTGTTTGATAACCGCGGCAACCGCCCTGGATTTCAACTTTCGATGGCCTTGGGATGTTATGGATGACGCACATGTGTGAGTGTTAACCGCACAGGATATTACCCAATGGCCGACTCTCTTGCTCTTGATGGCCCGGACCCTAGCCTTGCATCCCTCGCGCTGATTTTGGCATCTAACCATCAGTCTCTTTGTGTTAGAATGGGTTGTGTGCCATTCAAAACTCCGAGTCATTGCTTCAGTGGCAATAGCGTGTCGCACCTCATTCTTCGTTGCAAATTGTTGGCCCTTCGTAAAGTCAGTGAGTGGACCCCATACTAGCACCTCTGGCGGCTCCATGTCGGCATTAACATACCAATCTTCATTTGGAATGTGATTTTAGTACGGAATAGGTACACGGTCGCGAGGCACCTCATCATCGTCTCCGTCTGAATCTGGACCAGAATCATTAGCACCTTCAAGAAGATCAAAGTTGTATGCACTGACATCGCCTTCCTCTTCTTCAACCTCAGGGTCACTAACTGGACTTAGATTGACATCTTCCATCTGATCAAGATCATGAAAGGCACCTTCATCAGCTCCGTAATGGTAGTTGTTGTAACTACCGCTAGGAGTGGAAGTTTAGTTTGCGGGTTGCAGGTAACCCGCAAACCGCACCAAACCACACACTTTGTGGATACCCGTACCCAAAATTCCTGGATAGTGGGTTGGGTGTGGTTAGCAAAATATTGATTTTTGTGATTAGTGGTTAACCACTAGCCACAGCGATTTACCCACAAAACTCACATTAACCACATTAGTTATATTTATTTCTTCAAATACTTTGTAACCCACATTAACCACATCAGTTATATTAGTTTGTGAAACTTGGAAGACTAAGAATTAAAGTAGCTACCAAAATCAAATACTCACTTATTCTATAAAACAAAACCAAGTCAATGCGCAATGTTCATGTGAGATATTTTTATCAAATAAGCATTGTCCGTGTGGTATATGTTCATTGTATAACAAAACCAAGTCCATAGATATAGTCAGATAAATTAGTCGATTTGTTAAAAGAGGTGAATAATCGATAAAGGTTAGTCTGATACCCAAAATAATCTCCATTTCTCCACGAATTCACGAACAACACAACATGCAACCAACTACCAACAATACAAGACTATAATCGAGAATGGAGAATAAGCAAATCATTAAAAGCGGGTGCCTCCACTTATCGAGCCACTTTTGTGTTTTGCTGTTATTTCCATAGGAGGAGCCGTGACATGCAATGATGTTTGTCTGGTAACAGGTCACTCTGCCTCTGCGTTATCTTCAAATCTCTTTCCAAATCCATCTTTTCTAAATTTACACTACCAAACCTATTGTATTCGGGATATATAATTTATTTAACACTTTTTTAACTTTCTATTATGCATATTTTTGTTTTTGTGTGAGAAGAAACACAATATCACTATTTAATTACAATATTATTATATTTAATGTGAAATTTTTGTGGGTATCCACAACCAACCCGCACCACCCGCAGCGGGTTGTGATTAACCACTAACCACAGCGGGGCGGGTTGTGGATAGCATAATTATACAATTTTGAGTGTGGTTACCCGCAAAATGTGGGGCGGGTAACCACACTCATCCCAATTTCCACCCCTAACTACCGCCGCCTTGGTAGAAGTTGTACTCGGGTTGGTACTGGTAGCCTTCTTGTTGGTTCTCATCTGCCTGTTGAGCTTCTTCTTCATATGTTGGGGAGGATTGATGATGACCTCCAGTTCCATCATGATGCTCCTGGCACCAGCTCGGGTCTTGGTACAGGGATGATCTTCGTATAATCCACCCCCACCGTGGATACCAGATATTTGGTCATCTCCAGAATGACCTACACCGCCTTCGACCGCCTCGGTGTAAACGAACATCTCCGCTTGTTTAATGTTATTGGTGGTCAAAAATTGGAATGGCATCAACGTCCTCCTGAGTGGTAATGAGGAATTACTCATTCCACAACGACCCGCCATGTCTGTTTGGATATCGATACATCATACGATCAACTCTTCTAGTGACATCAATGCAGGTAACTTCAGTGCACATTTAATGGAGCTCTTCAAGCATCGATCTCGTACGAACCTTCATTTTATAAAAATTGCCACTCACGTAACTTACACCCTTTCAAGTCTCTTCTGTGTAACCATTCCACCGTAATCCAAGCATGAACTTTTGGAATGTCATCTGCAATAAAACCGTAATTAAGTTACTATCATAAAAATCACAAATTACAATGAAAAGTAATACACAACAAACTTACGAATTAACGTTAATCGCAAAAACTAAAAAATTTAAAGGTGCACAACAGAAAGAAGAAGAAGGAGAGGAGTGAGGATTTTGAGTTTTCTGGAGCTGGCTTTTATAGGCAAATTTTACACTAAAAACCGCAGGGGGGAAGCGATTTTAGTATGGCATGCAGACCCCCACCCCTGCAACCTCGTGCATGCCGACATGTCCGATGTCGGGGGAATGGGGCTGAGGCACAAACCGCTGGGGGGGAGAGGGGGGGGGGTTGTGCATCGACATAATAAACCGCATACCTGAGGGGCGGTTTATGTTGCTGACACATAACCGCTCCCAGAACTCGCGGTTTGTGCTAGGGCAGCCATGCTCCTTCGAAGAGCGGTTTTCCCAAAAAACACAAACCGCTCCTCTGGCAAGCAGTTCCATACTAAACCGTTGCCTTGGTGTGCAGTTTTTATTTTAACCGCCCCTGCGTGGTGTGGTTTTCAATTAAGGGTGGTAGATTTGGATTTTTTTCGGTATGGGTGGTAGTTTTATAATTTTTTTTAAACAGTAGTAGTTTTGGATTTTTCCGACATCTCAGCCTCTCTCCTATACGCCTCAACTTGTGGTTTTGGCCTCACCTCCTCTTCTTCATCATCGTCATTAAATGAATAAGCCACATCTTTGACAGCTTTTGAACTTGCTTGAGTGACGACTTTTGTCTTATCGCCACCAAGTATCAGCAACAAAAAAATCTGGCTTTTGGTATTTTTGGACTGGATTTGCAAGTTCTGGAAACCAATAGACACATTGAGCACCATTCTAGCTTTCACCAGCCGATCATTCCTTTCATTTAAAGCCAACCCAGACACGAAATTCAAGACCAATTCTAGTCCCAACAGATTTCGTCAAATGTGTGACCAGCTCAGAAGCTTCAGACAGACTTAACTAAGGAGCGGCCAGCCTCATATACTGCACTAACTGGGTTACCAGGTTTCAAGGCACCGATAGCAGCTTCATGAGCCTTGAGAAGGACCTCATATACTTTGTTTTGAAAAGACCCGGCATCAATCAAGAAAGACCTGACAACATTTGAGCAGTAACTGTTATAGCGGGATCCAATGGCACATATGATTACACTAGCAGGGTCGTAGTACAGCAGGTCATCATTACCTACAGCACTTGGCCTAAGATCAAATATTCCACCACTCTGAAAAATTGGAGGATAGAAAATATCAACATTTTTTTTTTTTGTCAAAAAAAAACTTCACGCCAGCCTTTGTAGGCTCCAATATAACCTTCTCCGTCTCATCCATAAGAGTCGAATGAGCCACTTTATTTTCCTCGTCAATTACATTCTCGAGTTTGGGAAACACGATTAGGGATGTCCAACCCGTAACCATAGATACCCTACCCGATCGTAACCGGTCAACGAGGATAAGTATCCGCTTTGACGGGTTAAGAGCGGGTACGGATAATACCCGGTTTGAAAATAAAGGGTAGGGTACGGGTATGGTAATCGATATTACCCATCCTGTTATACCCGCCCCGCTAACCAAATGGTCAATTTCCTAGCCCTAACCCTACCCAGCAGTCGATTTTCCTTGCCCACACACAAGTGAGGTGCTTGCTCAAGCTCTTCTTGAAACTTTACTTGCTTAAGATATTGACACAAAAGTATCTACAATTAACTTGGATAATTGTTCTACTAATGATGCCTTGTTGGATGTCATGAAGCATAAGTTAAGTAGTGAGCATTTGATGTGGTCTTGTTCTAATATTGTCTTTGCTGTTTTTGTTTATGTGTGGATTGTTGAAGCTAAAACAAATATGATGTATTGTGTTTTTGTTTGTGGATTGTAGAAGCAAGAACAATTAAAATGTGTTTGCTGTTTTTATTTGTGTGGATTGTTAACGCTATAACAGTTATAAGTATTGAGAATTTTTAACGGACAATAGTATGTATGTCAGTATGTGCATATATGTGTATAAGTTCATATTTTTGAGAATTTTTAACGGACAACAGTATGTATGTCAGTATGTGCATATATGTGTATAAGTTCATATTTTTGAATTGTACCCATGGTTACCCGAATACCCGTGGTTACCCCGGTGGGTAGGATATGGTTATATCATTTTCATACCCGGTGGTTATTTGGTCGGGTATTTTAGGAAGCTCTACCCGACGGATTAGAAGTTGATATAGGGTAAACCCGCACCCGACCCTACTCATTGCCATCCCTAAACACGACCTTCTTCATCACACTGGCAGATAAATAAGCAGCCTTTCCTAACACACATGAGCTCGTAGTTGTCCTTGATAGCAAAGAGGTCAGATAATCCAGCAGTTATGTCCCCAAGCTGAAAACTCTCGTTTCCCAATTTCTAAGACCAAGTCTCCAAAAGCTTCCCTTCCGGAGCCTCTCTTGCAATATTGCCAACCACAGGACCAGAATCACCACCACTCCGGACAGCATGAATAGCAGAAAAAATAGAATCCATGAGCGAACTCCCATCGTCATTCTTCATCTTGACGTGCATCATCACATCAGCACCCACTGCATCCTTGGCTGGTTTCTTCACAACCTCTAGGAGAGATGACTTCTTCTGGCTACACAGGAAATGTATATGTTTCTTCATGAACACCATGACAGTCTCGGGTAACTCGTAGCCCAACAACCAAATGTTGAGGGCCGAGGACTTGAGGTACCGGAGATCCTCGGAAGGCGGTGGAGTCGCAATCGCTAGGGCATCCGCGGAAGCCCACATATCGCCTTTGTTATGCGTCCAGTGAGAGTACAGAGCTTTCAAACGGGAGCTAAATTTAGACAAATCAATCGAGTAAGGAATCCCGGCGGCAGAAACCTTACCACCAGCCTGCGACTGCGGAGGTACCTTTCGATGATCAGCCATAGTGTAGAATAGCCACTCAAAAATCAAAAACGAAGAAGGGCGAAGGCGCGAAGCCAAAGCTGGGAGTGGCACTGCCGCTACAAGCAAACGTCGGCCTTCGTAATTAAGAAAGAGAAGTAGGGTTAGGGTTAGGGTTTGCACGGGGTAAATAGATTCGACGGAAAGAGGAGAGGAGAGCCGAGAGAAACCGACTTACCGGAACCTTGAACAAAAGCCGAAAAGGCAGTTGTCTTCTGTCTAGGGCTTTGGCATGGCGCTACTGTATTCAAATGAGAATCAAATGTGTGGGCAAATCTGAAGAAACCATGCGGCAGAGAAGAGGGAGATGAAAATTACAGAGAGAGAAGAAAGAGCGCGAGAAAATTAGAGGGATTGGGATTGCGGAGGGAAGGGAAAGTCAAGGAAAAGTAGACAGCGTTGGCCGTTGGGTGGGTTATTGGGCCGACGAGCCCATGAGCTTAAAATAAAGAAAACCTTTCAAGATACTGCTAGGCATCTATGAAGGGTTGGAGCAATGCATTAAACAGATGGGTCTTTAATAGAATCAAAGGTTGAAGGCTCTGAGAATGACAAGCCTTTATTGGAATGAAGATCACATTGAGTGTACACAAAACAACCTTTCACTTCTACCTGTGATTTTCCTTTTTACAGTTTTACCCTCTGAAGTTCTATTTCAACTGTACTGGTAAAAACAGAGGGGGGAAAAGGTCTCAGAATTCACAGTGCTGGTCTGTTATCCATTCAGCAAAGACGTGCATATCAAAATCAGCAGGCTCCAGTTGCCACATGAGCAAGCTTCCATGCTCTCGATTCCTCCGTCAAACATGAAGGGTACATCAGCCCTTCCATGGAAGAAAGCCTGGATTGTGGATTGGAGGGAAGGTTTTTCTATTTGGCCAAAAGCCAATGAAACCCTACAAATGCAATACTACACTACGATAGGTTGTTCTCCTTCGAGCTCCGATATGACTATCAATGAGTCCGTCAGTGCCACGAAGAGCGGTTGTGATTTCGGAATCGGGTTAATGACCTGCAAAAGGAGGAATGCTGGTATTTGAAACATGTCCCATGGCGCATATGGTTGGTTGGTTATCCATCTGTTACCTTCTTGTTGCCTCTAAGGTATCCAATGGCAACCTCCCGCCTCAACCGTGCCCTTTCAGCGAGCTCAGCAAATGAAGGATTCTCACCTTCTTTCATGTAAAGGCTTATATCCTGCAACCAACCACAGAGCAATGCAGATGGTTATTATTCGTTCGAGGGCTGTTATCCAAAACTTGAGAGTCCATAAATAGAGGAGATATGGTGTTTGACTACCTTGATGTATATTTCATCCCCCTCCGCGTTCAGAATGTCTTTCCACACATCATTTAGTTCATTGCTCTGCGTCACTGTCAACGCGAAGAAATAGTCTCATTCACTCCATGATAAAACTAACAAGAAATTTTTTCCAGCATTGGATGTTCAGGAGTATGATAAATGATGATTTAACAAAACCTTGGGCTGTGACAAGGCTCATCACTTCCTCCGCTGCTATATAGTTTAACGAAGGCTTTATTCTGGTAATCTGTAACATCACATGAAACCTGTAAGTTCATCCAGAAAACATGAAACCCAAAGACAACAGTTTGTTCATCAGAAGGGGCTTACTTGTTTGCCTAACTTTGAGTCGACAATCTCCGCTACGAGATTTTGTACCTGAAAAATTATGCTTTCGTCACTTGAGACTCTTCTTCGCAAGGAAGAAACAGCAAAAAACAGTATTAACTAATCCTCTTATTGACTCCATGATAGAATGAATAATAATCACCTTAACCCCGAGTTTATTGCAGATTCTTTCAGCAAGGAGAAGAGAAAAGGCAGATTGCTTGTCTGCCCTGGATGCATCTGAAAGAGAGGAAAGTTAGCATTGAGAGCGACATATCCAAGTTTCAACGATGCAATCAGGTTAGCATACCTCCAGCAAGCCATCCCCTATCAGAAATCACAACAATTGACAATGGACCACTTTTCCCTTGCTTATAATATTTTTGGATATTGGTTATGGTTTCTTTTAATGTGTCAAAGTCCATGGGGTTTCCAACCTGCACAACTTGAAAAAGACTCCAAAAATCAGAATAAGAAAGGCTTCCCCCTGCAAGTTATATCCTTTTAGAAACATAACAGAGAAAAGGAAAATGAGAGGTTCATAATACTCGGATGAAATGCATTTTTTACAGTACCCTATGGGAGACCTTGACATGGTTGAGTGTTCCAGGCATTAGCTTAAGAATATTACTTGCCCTCATCCTCTCGTCTAATGGTACCTCTGATAGTATCTCCTGCTTGTACAAATGATTTATGAGTCAGCCAGCTTATTGTTGATATTAGACGCTATAATTCCTTAATACCAAATCTGACATTATTGATAGGAAGACGATGAGAGGAAATAAGGCATGAAGAGGTACAGATAAAAGGTTTGCCAGGATCAACGTCACAATAGCTATAAACGAGGAAAACTGATCGCCAGAATCTATATAGCATAGAGAAATGCAACAAGGAGAGTTCAGGAAGCACAACACGTTTTCATAAATCAAGTTGTTTAGTAGATCTCAGATTTGGAAATTACCACAAAAAAATATTCAGGTCGGCCCAATAAAGCTTACCAGTGTGCTCCCAGGACCAAGATAGTTGTCATACTCCTTAATCATTTCAATGACGTCCGGGCGCCAGCCAAGTAAGAGAATAGATTCTGTTGGCCCAAGTGTCAAGTCGGATGCCTGCTTTGAATGGTAAATAATGAAAAGCTGTTTTGTTGCGGAGAAGAATGTCAATCCAGCTTATTTCTAAGGAAGATAGATACCTTTGACCCTGATTTAGTGGGACGTTTTACGGTATTCTTGAGTCTTGTTTTCATCAACTCCACAGCATGATTCGAGTTATCACCATCCTCTTCCATAACTTCCAGACTTTTACTAGCAGTTTGTTCTTTCAGAACTTCAGAATCTGCAATCTGTGGCCTCTTTCTGCCATGAACAGGTCCTATGAACAAAATCTAGAAGAGGGAAAATGGAAATTTGAGGATACAAAAAAGTAATGTCAGCGAGAGCACACACTGAATTTAGTAGTATGAGTAAACCAGCTTCCTTCAACCAAACTGGTAGAGTAGTTCTATGTTTCCTATATAGGTTTCTACAGTTTCCTATATTTGAAGTACCAGTCTAAGTGAAATATGATTAGCTCTATAGCTGACGATGAAAACAATCTGAAAAATTATCCAAGTATGGAATACTAACACAGGAGAGAATATCATTTAACACCAAACAAAAATACAAATAATAAGTCCCACATGAGCCATTATATCGTCGACAACTATTACGCCATGGAGAACGATATTCGTGCACCAAAGCACAAATAAATTTCAGAGTAGATCAAGGAATTTCAGAGTCACTACTGGCCATTATATAGAACCTATATGGTTATCGAGTGACTAGACATGAATTCATGTCCTTTGCACCCAAAAGGAAATGATAAATTGGGGTTCCAAAAAAGGTGGTAAGACATGTCTACGTACTTTATCGGTTTGCAGTAGGATTTCCTCATCATTGGGATGAAAGTACAGCTTCCCGTCTCGATAAAGACCACAAACAACAACCTGAAAAGTATCTTCATTCAGAAAACAGAGAGTTCCCTTCCAAATAATAATATTATAATAATAATAATAACAAATTTATATTTGGTTAATGGCATTACCTCTTGCAAGTAACGTCTTACTTGCCTATAACTAACTCCTTCTAGAGTAGGTAAACTGCAAAGGTTGAATACGTTTTCTGCATTGATTTAACAAATTACAGTTAGTGTCTTTCAAAGGAGCATAAAGGGGGTAAACAAGAGCAGAAGGTAGTAAAAGGTCCACATGAACCAAAAAGGAAGATACGAGTTTTTCAAGTAAGTACTTATTTTATTCTAAAATTTCTAACAGCCCATGAAGCTTAAACTTTAACTAGGTACAGCATCCGTGTGTATAAACCATACAGGATATAAAAAGCAGCATTAATTTTTACTAAGCCTCACATTTCCTATATCTGACAATCTTGTTAATCCATTTCAGGAACATTTTTCGCTTGACATCTAGTGCTCTCGACAGGCAGAAATGTTCAAAATATATGAATTACAAATGCAAGAAGATAAAAATCAGGCAAATTTTTGTCTCTTAGTGATCATGTTAATGACTGCTTCTTAAGAAAAGGTTTTCTCGTACTTCGGTAATTGAGCAAGTGTCTGTAGATCTTTATAAGCCCCTTCTGCCTAGAGCATTGAACGAACAGTTTTGATGCAACATTTTCCACTGGCTCTACTTTCAATCCAGAAATTGACTTCAGGAGATCACAAGTAGTTGAGTTGGAAACCTGCACTTAACAGCCAAGACAAATTTTACTTCAGTCTGGCCAGTAATCTTCACTCGGCAGTATCTGCAGTTAGCATACCTCAACCACAGTGGGGATAGATTCCATGTTTGCAATAGGCTGAAGGGCTAGCACTGACAGGAATGCATTGGTATCAACCTCATACCTGATAAATCAAAACATGACATAAGTTGGTTGCTGGATTGTTTAGGTCTGAGCTTCGCAAGATGCCTTCTTGTGAATAACAGCTATCTAGCTTAAAATTAGAAATTGTGTAAATAACAAGATGCTCTACAAAAATATTTGTTCAAAATACTTACCTATCACCTTTTGGTGAAAGTATAATGATGGCACGGGCCTTGTCAGCTGCACACCTTTCAAATGACTTTGTGAGGCTAGGGCTGCAACTGATACATATAGAAGTGCAAAATGTGTAAGCGGTGAAGTAAAATGTTCCTGCAGATTGGCATATCGGGTTACTGCTGATTGGAACTTGTAGTTTAAAATCACAGCAGTTGGATGGATGTTATGAACTATTCACTCACACAACAAAATCGCCCATTCCTGACACGTTAATGATGCTCAAAAGAAGAGAATTGATGGTTATCAACAATGAGCTAATCATAATTCAATCTACAAAAACTGAAGTTGCCCCCTCGTACATTCCATACGCGTTTCATGGTAAATCGTGATGCATGCTGAAAAGTTTATTTTGGTTTGCTGCTGAACAAGTCCTAATCAATCTAGTTCAGGGGAGGACCCCTCTCAAATCTCAAGAAACATGATCCATCTTAGACACCTTACTAAAACGGTGATCCTTCAGATATCTAGGGTTGTTGTCCATCAGTGGGGAAACGAACAGTAGATCAATTTTGTGAAAAGCTTGAGATTTACTGAGCTCATCAGTTCCTTATATGATAAAGGAGTTTGCATACCTTTTAGTGAGGATATCAATATGTTTAAGATCTTTAGCAATATTGTCAGCTAGGCGGTCCATTTGCTTCCTTGGAGCGTCAGACATGAGAAGAATTCTCTGCCTCCTGCAATATATATTTTCAAATGCAGATAAGGAGAAGATTCCACAAGTATGCCAGCCCACAATAGGTTGAGCGTTCTCCTGGCAACATGATAAAGCCAATTACCTTGCAGTGGCAGTACCTAGGCGGACAGCAAATTCATGGTACTTATTTAGCTGTTTTAGTACAAAGGCGAGGTGGCTATTAATCCCACAGATAATGATATGATCCGCCTCCAAGACTTGGACTTGTGCTCCTTCCCTGAGTCTTTGCATGTTATTCTGTTCAAGTTATAGTCTTCAGGATAATACTTTCATGTAGGCAAGATTTACCAAGTAGTTTCAAGAGTTTACTCTGAATTCTTCCGTCATTGTGCTCAACAACCTAGAGTAGAACAATATCCCCCATACTGCAAGCACAAAGCCGATGACACGTTCAACACGTGTCTTTTGCTACAGAAAAGATGGAATCCATTACAGAATCTGAAATCATAAGGAAACACAGGAATCCATCAGAATTCATCTCACCCTTAAATGAGTGGAAGATGAACAGAGACAGGCCCAAGCTTCCCAGAAGCAGTCTTCCAGAGACTGCTTTCTACCCCTGCATAAGCGAACATGGAGAATCCACAATATCAGCAGAAGAAATGGGTAGATGGTGATTCTTGTTTCCTTTGGGCATCAAAGGTTTGTTATTATATTTTTTCCTCAAAGGAAAGTGACAAGTGCAAATAAGAACTAAGAATAAGAGCAAAATTATTTCACTCCAAAAAAAAAAATAAGAGCAAGATTATCACTATCAGGTAAGAAGAGCATGTCACTGCCATATGTATGAAAGTAGTTTTAGCTGATAAGTGTTACAGCAAAAGAAACTCAGAAAGTGCAGTGAATACAATATGCAGACAATAACAGATTATATCACGGGAGATGAAGAAGAATGGAACTGTAATAGCATTGGCATTTCCGAGGGGAAGGCTTGTAATCGTACCTGAACCTGTAGAACAGTAGACCGCCAATAATGATGAATGAGAAGCAAGCCGCAAGCAACGCTACGAGGAACCTATAAGAGAATGAAAGTCATGAATGAAATGAAGTTGAAAATTTCCCACAAGAAGAGGGGGGTCAATTTACCAGCAAAGAAGGATTTGTTCTTTTTCCCGAGAGGAGTAAAGAAAGGGACTTTGTTGAACTTTGCACAGACACAATGAACCAGGATTTCTTAGTAAAGTGGTCTAGGTCAACTTTTCTACTTACGTTGCTATGTTTCTTTCCAGCCGGATGTTGAACAAATATATTAAGCGCGCTAAGCTCCACTTAACATCTTGAAATGATGGCAATGACACATCCAACCCCAAAGGGGTTGGCTTGGTCAAGGAGTTAGACATGCAAGCAAAAGGTGAGGTTGCTCCTCCAAGTTCCCAAAGGAAAGAAGGAACCGAGTCGTGGAACATCTTTATCAGTAGACTGAACGACTTCAACTGTCTCAGGTTTGACATGAAACAGAATAAAGCAGATCCAACCAAGAGCTTCGTCCAGAATTCCTACGCATAACCTCAACATACAAACCACAGATCAGAAAAACAGTCATAAACCACTGGATAAAAGGTCAAGCATCAAGCCAGCTTTTGCCCAATCATCTTTATGTTAACATTTTACACACACAGGTTTCTTCCAGTGTTACCTGTGCACTGCCAATTTGTGTTACTTGTGCACTGCCAATTTGCTTCATATTGAATAACCTAATACTTGAGGCATCTAACACACCATTATCTAACACAGAATCCCACTCGTCCCCTCTTCTTTGCACGCTCGCTTCCTGGCACCCTGCAAAAGTATAACCAGCGTTCAACTGCAGCCTTTTTCCAAGCAACCAATGAAGCGCCCCAAGACATGTAGCTTGCAGCACAAGATCATAGACCAGATAGAATACGACTGGCAATTGATCAAGTCAACGGACAATTGATCTTCAATGAACAAAACTGACTTCGTAAAACCTATATGGATCATATTTGAAGGTCTCTACTCTCGTCATAATGAAACTAGAGATATAGATTGATAAGAAGGATTTGAATTCCAGAACCATTTCCAAACAACCACCCAAGTGGCAGAGCATCCATGGAAATCTAAATTCACTCTATTAGATACTTCATGGTTACAGTGGAGTTGTGAATGGTTCCAAGTGTCTCGCTCACCACCACTGCTGCATATCCTATGATAATTCGGACCAAAAGCTGAGGTTTGGATCCACATGAACTGCTTCGCCATCGGTTTCTTGTTCATCAAGTCCCTGTTTCACAGTACAAGTAGACAACCATCCGTCGCTAAGTTGACTGAGCACTGTTCTTTACTTGCAAAAGCTATAAAGAGCATCGAAATTGTCATCCAAGAAACAAAATTACTATATGACAGAAGTTGAATCATGAATTATGAATCCGAATCCAAATTCGTCAACGCGAAATGGCATTGCTAAAAGAGGTAGGAGGAGGAGGAGGAGGAGGGGCGACCTCTTGAGAAACGGATGGGAAGTAGAACGATAGGGCAACGCGAAATGGAGAATAGAGCATATCCATGGCGGCTGGTAGCATTGCAACTGAGTGAGGAGCATTTGCTTTGTTCTGTCAGGGTATGCTCGTTTAGTGTTCGATGAAAGTACTGAGAGAGTGGATGAATAGATCTTTCCTTCGTTGGGTGGAAAGGCTCGTTTTATTATTGATCAGAGGAGAAGGGAACAAGAAAGAAAAGGAGAAAGGAAGGTGGCGTTATTTGAGTGGAATTTGCAGTACTAGACTGCCAGCCAGGGGAGCAAGTGAGAGAGTTGAGCGGTGGGGAAAGTTTGGAAGTGCTTGCGACTTGCGAGGCGGGGCGGGAGGGACAATCCCGGCCGCGACTGCGACGGTGACTGACAATGGCAGTCTTTGGACTGCGAGATGACCACTGGGATTGGGTTTGGATTGGACCAAAAATTAGGAATGCTAATGGCAGGTACGGGTGGGTATTTCGATATCCATATTCATCTTGTGACAGGTCGGGTTTAGGTTGGTTAATTTGTCATGGGCGCGGGTCAGGGCAGGTCAACCCAATGGTATGTAATTTATGGGAAAATATTAGAAATATTCGTTATTTTCATTAAAATACCGAGAAACAAACCATAATATGATAAAAGGGTAATGTCTATTTTTTATCCAAACTTTTGTCAAATTCTTTTATATCATCCAAAACTATTAAAATGTTATTAATTAGCCAAATCTTTCGTAATGCATCAAAATATTAGCCAATAGTACGTTATCGTTAATAATTTTGTAACTCTTTTCTTAGTTAAAATACCAAAATTTGGAATGTTGACCTTCATGTGTCTTTTCCAAGTCAGTATTATGTTGCCAAGTTAATATTACTTACAAAATTGCTAACTGAAAGTTAACATTTGGTTAACTCTTAGTATTTCGATAGGTTTGGCTAATAAAAAAGAATCCAAAAAAGGTTTGGATAAAAAATAGACATTACCTTATGATAAAATGTAGTTAAATTATTGGAGAAATTGAGTTTTCCACTTACTTACAACTTTATTATAGCTAAAATATGAGGTAATAAAAGGAAAATCCTAAATAATTTGACTAAGATTACATGTAATTTAGGCAAGAACGAGTCGAAAATGGGACGTGTCAGGGCGGGTCGGGTCGATGAGAGGTATCCATGCCCGCCCCGCCTATGAGAAGGATCGGACCTGCCCAAAATATGTCAAACAGATTGGGTAAAACGGGTAGGGGGTCCAAATTGCCATCCCTATAAAAAATCTAAATGAGGGAGACTAAAAATTTACGAATTTGAACTGAGGAGCGCTAAACTCTAACCAACTACTATGTTTCTCAATATTTTTTATTAGATTTTGAGAGCTGAGGGGGATAAATTTTCCCATGAGACCAAGTACAATGCTAGTTCCCAAATTTGGGGACCTTCAACCCCAAATTTGGAGATTCTCCCTATTTTCATCATTTTTGTTCCAATGATATCATCTTCAAATTTCGAGATTTTCATTTTTTCTAGTTTTTCTTTACTTAAAAATGTATTTATGATCATCTTAATCCAATTTATGCATGTTAATTTTTAGGGTAAATTGCAAGGTTGGTCACTATAATTACAAAAAAACGTTCACATTTGGTCACTAAAAATATTTAATTTCATCTGTGGTCACTAAAATTAGTTAAACATTTCAAGTTTGGTCATTCTCCGTCCAATTCCGTTAATTTTGCTTATGTTAATTTCTGAAACCAAGGGTCAAAGTTGATTATAAGGTCATAGTTCAGACCAAATTAAGGTATTGTACCGTTATGATAAAAAAATGAATTTGTGCACTTGAATGACAAAAAGTAACATTTATATGCCAGGATAAACAAATCATGAAAATTGTAAGTGTCAAATTAACCCGGAGCACCACGCAAGCATGCTGATTTGGTGCTCCAGGGCAACGAAAACTCGCCATCTGTCCATTGGAAGAATTAAATAATTCATTGTTTAATTGTTTCCTTGGTTACCTATTCTCATAAACATATCCAATTAATAAAACAAAAATGCACTAATTAATTCCCCCCTCTCTCTTGTCTTCTTCTCACTCCCAACAATCCCGCCATTAATCAACCAAAATCATTTTTCGCTTGCTTCGTCTTCCCAACTCATCCCTTTAGAGCTCTAATGAAACAGCCACCGCACTAACAGAAGTAAAACACTGATTTTATTAACAACACGTCAACACCCTTTGATTCCTCCCAATCCAAGCGAAGAGCTATCGTTTAGCGGTTATCGGCGCAATGGACGACGACTATGTTGCCGTTGACGATGTCTCTAAAGCTGCAAATGGAGCCGGGTAGTGGGTAGTGGGTTTGGAAGCAAGGACATGTATGGCGGAGGATTCAATTTGTTTGCAAGTGGAGAGTTTCTTGAATTGGTTAGTAAATATCAGAATTTTAATGGCGGAATTTTCTACTCGCAGCCGTGGCCGGCTGCACGTTGGAAGAGAGAAGACAAAGAGACGTAAGAGAGATAGAGGGAATCAATTAGTTAATATTATTATTATATTATTATTTGAAGAGATTTACCTAGGATAATTAAGAATCGAGGCATGGATTAAGAAATTAACTATTTAATTCTTCTATACGGACAGGTGGCGAATTTTGATTGGCCCGGAGCACCAAATCAGAATGTCTACGTGGTGCTCCGGGTGTAGCCAATAATTTCTCTAACTTTCTACCCTAAAACTTTTATGAATAAGAACATCACTTCTCATTAAGTTCCAGTCAGCTCGGTTCGTTGTCAATCGATTTTTCTTTGCTATCAAGTTGATGGGCCCTCGAGTATACTTCATAACATCATGTCACTTTGAACATGTAAAATGCTCTATCACACTTTAGATTTTTTTAACATTTCGACACCTTTAAAAACTCGGAGCAATCGCATGAAAATTTACCGAAACATGTTTTATCCAATACCAACTAATTTTCAATTCAGCTCTGATACCATGTAAAATTCGAGAGAAACAGAGAGCGGAAACAAAAAGCGACGAGATTTATGTGGTTTCCCCATTCGATATGAACAGGACTAGTCCACGGAGAGTAGCAAGCTCTCGAAATCCGTTTATACTTTGTTCTTGCCCTCTTACACTATGTTTGGGAAGGGGGGTTAATGGGAGGGGGAGCAAGTTTGGGGGTAAATGCATTATCTAATGCATTTGTCCCCATTTGGATTATGAATAGTGTAGGGGTGCAATTAGGGGGCAAATCCACTATTCTCATTAACCCCCCCAATTTGGGGTACAAATGGAGAGAGAAAGAGTGAAAGGATGGATAAGATAAAAATTAATATATATTATTATGTTTTATATGTATGATTATGTTTTATGATTGTTGTGACTAAAAATGTCATGTAATCATTATTCTACAATAATACTTATTATTATTATGATACTAAGAATAATTATTATAATGATTAAATAATAATTATTATGATTTTTACATTGATTCCAGGAGACATCATTTGATATATGAAGAGAAAGTTTGTTAAATTGGCTTCAACTGTTTGACTCGGTCAAACAATTGAGTCAAGATTCGTCAAGTCGAATCGAGATAGGATGGTCATTAATGGTTAAAATCGATTTGATAATGTCCATTTCACTCCGATTTAACTATCATTTTGATAAATCAACGCCCATGTGGGAGACATGAGCTAGTTATATGTCTTGGCCACAGATTGAGCTTCAAGCATAGTCATTCGAGGTCGCTCAACCAATTATTATTATAATGAACCCAATAATTTTATTTATGAATATTTATAATTAATTACTACTTGAGCATTAATATTTTAATATTATTTTATTAAATTATATTTTTTAATATTTATAAATGTTAATGTTTTTTATTTCATACTTATTTATATGTGAATATTTTATAACAATATTTTAAAAATTTGATGTATCTATTTTATAATAATATAATTTACTTTCTTTTCACTAATTTGCACCGCCTACTTTTTCATCCAAACAACAAATTACCCCTCCACTTACACCCCCAACAACTTGCACCCCCAATAATTTACCCCTCAATTTGTACTCTCGAATTTGCACTACCCTAGTTGCCAAACACAATATTAGGATTTTCGGCCATACAACAGCAGCTATTTAATATAAACCCAAGTCAACAACCTGGAGAAAGAAAAATATCCAAAGTGATCCCTGAACTTAATACAAAAGACAATAGGGACCACAACAATGAGCTAGTACATGTTAACCCACCTCAAAGTAGTTATACTAAACGGGGCCTAAGAATGATTGTGTTTTTAATTTTTATTGATTTAATGATTTGTTTGGTCTATCTAATGTTATAATTGAATCTAAATGTATAATTTTAGGTATAGTAATCTTGGATTTATGGGGCATGTATTATTCATGTTACTCAGAAACCCACAAATATGGAAATAGGATTGCAAAATCTTCCCCGCATGAATATGGATGAAACCTACTCAAACATGCCCATTGTCATCCTTATATATAGCCATAAAATTGTCTTCCCCAACCATCTCTATTGTATACAACGACGAATGTAAAATGGATCGCAAAATATATCAACTCTATTTTTTAGATCTTCCTTTAAAACTTTAGTTTCTACCAAAGGGACGCTAACTTTGGCTCACGAGTGCACTCGCCGAGATAATTGATGGACCATGTACGTACTATGCGATAGCCATACCAAACCTATCCTTGTCTCTGGTCCGTCATATTTTCTTGTCTTTTTATGGAGAGTATTTTGCCTTTTTTTTTAATAAGAGAGTATTTTGCTTGGCTGGTAAGTCTTTATCCAATGAATACATCGTCCTATGTTTCTGTCTCCTCGGAATAAAACCAGGAAGAGTGTAAAACCAAGTCTTTCTCCTGGTATTTGTTACTGCCAGGTAAGTGCAAAATTTATAGAGGAAATGAAAAGAAGCCTCGTGTTTCCTCCATGGCATAATGTTGATTGTTGAATCTTGATCTGAATAAAGTTAGATTAATTAATATGTTGTCAGAAGTGCTAACTAAGCAACTCATGTGACACTTGGAACTAGGTATAAAATAACAAATAAAACCTGACCAATCAACATGCATCGAAAATGTCTTGCTCGTTACTTACCGAAAAAAAAAAGTCAAGCTCGTTATGGTACATAGTTAGCAGCAATATTTTATTAGATAGGGTGTACTGTTGAACTGTGATGTAAATATATTAGTTGGAGGACCACTTTGTAATTGTTCCTTCAAAACCTAATTAGGCTTATTAGTTATTAGCATGGACGGAGGCAGCTACGTAAACAAAAAAAGATTGCAGACCAAGTGGTAAGCGCACCAAGCTGATTTTGGTTCTTCGGCTGTAAAAGGTCAGTAGTTTGATGCACATAGGTATTTGTTTTTTTTTATGCCTTCTATCTAGTTAATTAGAGGGAGTTCAATAGTTTATGATGGTTTGTTAATTAGAGGGTGTTCAAATGGAGTGGTTATCATGGTGTTCTTTCGTTTTAATTGGTAGAATTTGATTTTCTATCTAGTCTTAATATAGTTCTGTTGATAGGAGGTTAATAGTTTCTGAATGGCTTGTTATTTCAATTATATTGTTAACAAGAAACAGAGTACTCTAATCCATAAATATATTATTGACTTGCATTCTAAGATTTTAAAAAGTTATATACTATTTTATAATTTCTAACTTTAAATATTCATTGAGATAAATACTAAAACAAAATTCCATAATTTTTTTGTGTGTTTTTGAAGAATCTACGGACATATTTCTTTTATTATGTCGTGGGAGAAACAAAATTTGGCCCCTCCTAACTTTAAATCCTAGCTCCGTCCCTGCTTAGTAGCCAAGTGTGTGAGAAAAGAGAGAGAGCTAGTGCAGTCTCTCTGTATTGCGAGGTTAATAAAAAAATCAGATGAGAGCTTCGACTCTCCGTGAAATAGTCTCGTTTATATCGAACAAGCAAACCACGTAAATTATGTTTTGTGTGATTTCGTTTTCCGTTTATTTTACAGGGTGAAAACCCAAAGTAATCGGTTGAATAATAATTAAGCTTACTCACCAATAACCTCTGTCCTCTGCTATGTAGTGAAAAAACCCCAAAAATGTTGACATTTCAGTTCAAGGCTTGCACCAAAGCAATGATGTATGGAGCGCTTTACGAGAAAAGACAAATTAAGGATGAATCAATACTTCAATGGTGGGCAGTGGCCCAGATTCGCAGAGATAACATTTCTGAGGTGCATAGGAGTTGCCGAGGAAAACAGCAAAGGTTGACGGACAGCACATGAGCAACGACTTCAATTATTCGGTGCATGCATGAAAGGCACAGCGCAGAGTACAATTGTATTGAATTGATATTTGGAAGGAATTAAACTCCTATTATGGTTTTGAATTTTTTATTGATTTTTCAAGCCAACGTATCATGTTGACCATTTAACTTGGCGGTCAACCAACACATTTTAACGGGCCGCACGCACCCACCGGGTCGACCGCTATAAAGTACCAGGTGGAGGTCAACTTGTGCCATTTTTTTCTTTGTTTTGCGAAATGCGCCTATTTTCCGATTTTTCTTTTCGCCTAACTCAATCTTTGGAATCCTAAGTTGAACATTTGAATATTAATGTTATATAAGTGTGTGTGAATTTTCACTATATGTTGAATCTAAGTACGAAATGTTATTTTGGTGTAATATTATATGTTATAACTCATATGTTAGATGAGATTTGAAATAATTTATCATGATAAGTACAATATAATGACGCTTTCCATATTTTCGGACTAAACTGGACTAAAATGGGTGACTCATTAACCCTTGACCCACTAGCTCAACCGGGTCCGAATCAACCCGCTGGTTGACAACCTTCATACATAGCTTTGAACATGATAAAGAGTTTCAGAAAATACTGGTCAAAGTATTATATTAGTGAAGCATTTGGGCCAGAATAACCCAAAACCAAACAACCCTAACATCCGTAATATTATGGAATAGTATGGGCTGAGCCGAGTCGTATTATTGATCTAGTTGGTGTTGTCAGCCCACAGACATTGTTATCGTATTGAGTATTGAGCCCGGAATCGTCTTGAAGTCAGACTTGGTTTAATAAGTAGCTTGTGCTTGCTAGGGGCCTTGGGCGATACTAACGATGAACGTCTCCTTTCCAGCTATTTAACTTACAACGAACTATCTTCGTCAGATTGTCGAACACCACTTTGTTCGATCTTACATTCTTGGTGGGGAAAAAAGGGTTTTTGTACAATCGTCTTTGCGTTATTAGAATGGGGCTTTCCTGGTTATGGGCTCTAGTAGTGGTTTTATGTCGGATAAAATGTGAAAAAGACTAATCTTCAAATTCAATTTCATTGGGATCGAATTTACAATCAAAATAGATCAACATTATGCCATGGAGGAAACATGAGGCTTCTTTTCATTTCCTCTATAAATTTTGCACTTACCTGACAGTAACAAATACCAGGAGAAAGACTTGGTTTTACACTCTTCCTGATTTTATCCCGAGGATACAGAAACATAGGACGATGTATTCATTGGATAAAGACTTACCAGCCAAGCAAAATACTCTCTTATTATAAAAAAAAAGGCAAAATACTCTCCATAAAAAGACAAGAAAATATGACGGACCAGAGACAAGGATAGTGTTGGGCCAACGGTTAAGACTTACGGGCCCCAAGCCCATGACTCGCTAAAAAGCCCATTAAGCAACTAGGCCCAGCCCGAAATAGCACAAAGGGTGGTCTGCCTCCGGGCGCCTAATCCTGAAGACCGCCCGACATCCTCGCAACGGAACCTCTGAGAACCGCCCGACAGGTAGGACGAACGGCCTCTGAACACTCAGTACGGAGACTGGCAGAAGTACGAATCTGACAATCTCAGAGGGACAGATAGACGTCTATGCATGTCTGACTTGAGTGGGGAGTTACTTATCATGGGAGATTCTTAAGTTCCGCAACTCCCAACATGTTAATGCACAACCACAAATAAAATACAGAAAAGAACTGGCACGACTAATTAACTCATAGAGATGCAGTTTGTGTTTTTTTGTTTTTTACTTACCTTTTGTCCTCGTGTAGCAAATTGGCTTGATGAAAATGAACCCTCCATTGACCTCCTTCTGAATCCCCTTCCGTTATTTTCTAGGTCACAATAACAAATATAACTGAATTAATAGAGAGTTGTCCAAGTGCATAATTGAAGCTATTGATATATGGATTAGTTAGTTCTGATACCACATCGGCTTGTTTCCTGGATATCTGCAACCTACAACAACAAATGAAATAGTGATTGAAAGCATAAGACCAGATTTAAGTTCTTCAATATACTTCTCATCTCTCTCATGTTAGCTTTATTTAAGTTAATAAAACTGACATAAGGGGTGGGAAAGTGTAGCACAAAAGCATATCTTCGACACATTTCCTGTCTCTCGGGTTAGTTTCTAGTTTGTCTATTCTGAAAGCAGACCAATAGGAAGAGCAACATAGAAGCTTGATATTAAAATATATAGAAAGCAAACCAATAGGAAGAGTAAAAGATAAGCTTGAAACAAAAAAATACCCACAAAAGATGGAAACAATGAAACAAAAAAAAAAAAAAAAAAACCAAAGTCTAACCTTGCTTGCATACATAAAGTATAGGGAAGATGTACCTGACAGCATGACACAATCCAAGTTTACAGCTTGCAACTCTTCAAATCCATCCCTCCTACCTCATCTCACACAGTATGGCAGGTCATTTATTTAACCGAAAGAAAAAACAGAGCAAATATGGGTACTTCTTCACTAAGTTAAAGGAACTTGGCCTAGCCTGGGAATAAGTTGGTAAAAGGATAATGAGCAATCTCATCAGTTTACCTAAAATTAAGCTTCCTTCTCGTTAATCCTTCTTCGGCTCTCACAATCAAGTTCTTGTAGTTGGTAATTGAAATAAACTTCATCATGCTCTTAATATTAAGAAATGTAGAGCGGAAAACAGTCAATTCAATGCTATGAAATATCTAAAGGAGTGCCTGACCTATAATTTATGCGAGCCAACATACCAATCCTGAACACATGCGTGAAAAGACAAGACAAAAAAACTAGTACAACCCTTTCAAACATAAAAGCAACAAAATGACATGAAACAAACTAATTGCCTATTATGCAATCCACATTTTACCTTTTTACGTAGACGACTTTTACGAGCAGCCTCATGGTTTTGGGCAAGACGTCTTTGTACCTGTACAGATTAAGAAGTGACGTTATGAACCTGACTGCTCAAACCAGTCACAATCATATCAAAGACAGGGTTTCCAAACCAATGGAGAGTTAACTTGAATCATGAGAAAGTCAACAGATGCAAGCTGACCAAAACCATGCAGAACAAAATATTGGTAGACAGTAGTCTTTGATGCCAAAGATGGGACCAAGAAAAAGAAGCTAAACCCATTACATTACCTTCTCGCTCGATTTAGTCACTTCTTGTTCGTACTTATTAAGCGGTCCAGGGGTCCCTGAAGTATCTTCTGACTGCAAAATTTGCAGAAGAGAATATTTCAGAATTCAGTCTCTATCGACGAAGAATCAAACAGCAAATTGAAAGAACCTGTGTGACAGTAACCTGATTGTCTAGCTTCATATCTGCTGTTATAATCAACGACGAAGATGCATTCGGTATAAGCGTTGATGACAGTGGATGAGGACTTCCATTGCTCTTGAAACTTTCTCCCCACATCCCCATCCCTCCCGAAGTCACGAACCGAGTCGAGGAAGAGTTCATGCTTGATTTTGTAACGGTTTGGGGTACCTGACAATAAGCTTTTGAAAGAGAAGAGCCAGGCAGCAATGAAACTAAAGACAGTAAGCAGGAATCAGAAAGCAGAAAGCAGAGTTCAAAAGTTCTTCCTTCGAATGCCCAATCTCATAAGATATAGACCAGAGGATTAATAGGACAGAAAGTAAAGCTAATAAATTTTAAGTTCTTGATCACAGTACACATACCGATAAGTGGTGAAGTTGTAGAAAAATCAACTTCGCATTTTCATGAAAGAGTGTCAACGGTAACTTAATATCAACAAGCTCCACTGTAGAAGTGGCTGACAGATATCAAAGAAAGAGAGACATTACTAGTGATTAAAAAAAAGTGTTCAGAGAAAATTTTCACTTAAGCATCATACATTTTCTCACTTGGACAAGGAAAAGAACAACATGTGCAGTATTGTCAAAAATGAACTTAGAATTATGTAAGAAGCTCCACGGGAAGAAATAAGACTTCACCTTCAAGATAGAGTGACGGAAATAATCCATATGGCGAAATAACAACTGGTCCAATCGGTGGAGTTCTCCCATCCTGTAAAACCAAAACAAAAATAAGCATAACATTGACTGAAAAAGATAATAGTAAGAGACAGTTAAACACTTGTGCCTCTTTGCATCACAGTCAAGCTATTGAGATAACAAACAACAGATTGTGTAGTGTTCTTGCCATTTCCACCATTAGTTCCAACTTCCAACTACTCCCCTTCTCATTCTGGAGTCACAAAATTTAATTTTATTCACTTTCCAAAGCAAAATTAACAGACGAATAGATTCATGCCCAATTTTAATCGTTGGTAGGTACTTCTAATTGATACGAATTCAATAACCCAAACAACACAAATACCAAAACCTAATTGCCTCTTACGAGGCCTGATGACTTTGATTGAGATTGATCCACATCTCGCTTCTCCTCAATGCACACAACAACCACAAAGTTCACCTCGTCATCAAAACTGAAGTTTCAATTGCTTGCTGACTCTGCCTCCTTCATGCTAGAAGAAGACTGTATAACAGAGGGAGAGAGAGTTCACCATAAATCCAAGTCAATAAAGAGAGAGAAAGAAATCAATTCACGAGTTCTTACCAGCGGACGAGAGTAGACAGATGCGGAACCAGGGAGACTGTAAATACTGGCAGAACCACGATTCAGCGAAGGTCAGACCTCCAGACGGAAGAAGGAGATCTGGGTGGAGATAGTGAGTTCATCGGAGTTGCAGGTAGACTGGACGAGGGTCGAAGCAGAGCAAGCAAAGATCTAGGTTTCAAGCTGCAAAGGTTCGAGAAGAAATCAGAGGATTGGGGTCTCGTGTGCGCGTGGTGATGTTAGGGTTGTTGCTGGAGAGCGGAGAAAAGAAAGAACTCGATTTTGGAAAGAAAAGGAATCGGGGAGCAATTTTTTTTTTAATCGAATTGGAAGAGCTTTTCAATAGCAAAAAAATGGGGAAATGGAAAACCAATTTCCGGAGGTAGGCCAATTCAGTTGGGCCGGGTAAAGATTTGGGGATTTTTCCCAAAGCGGTCCCCTTAACCGCTGCTTATACCGCTGCATAAGTTTTATCGAGTAAAACCCGACAGCGAATCTCACAACCGCTGGAATATGACCCCTGCTGTAGGCGACTTTTGTTGTAGTGTACAAGGGGGAAATCTAAATTTCAAGATTATGTTCTTGAAACATTCAACTTAATATTCATCGAAAAAATCATTCAAGTTAATGAATATGTAACACGTTTCTTAAAAGTACTTTAATAAAGGTAGCAAGCCTGAATAGTAATCATTTCAATTATGTATTCATAGATATGATTCTATATAAAATAGATGTATTCCAGGGACAAAAGCGAGTATAATGTTTCTACTCTTGATGTCCTTGTGAACCACACTAACCCTAACGTGCTCGTGGATTTAATATTAAGGTCATTTGCTACATCGATGGTCATTTGATCCCTCGATATCTCGACGTTCGTTGTCGGTGTGGAGCTATGAATGGAGTGAACTGTTTTGAATCATTCATTGACTAGGTAACAATTGGCTTATTGAGGGTGGGTGCAACTAGGGGTGGGCATTGGTGTGGACAATGGTGCATTATAACTCCCGTGGGCCTTGGTGCCGAGTTGGGTTTAGTAATTAGGGGATTATTATTAGTTAATTCTCATATTATTGTGACTATTCGTATTAGTTTATTGTGTCTTGTTGAGGAAGTTAGTGTTTACTTGTTGGGTTAGGATTAGTTTACCTTGTTGGAGAGAGAAAGGGTTATGAGAGTAGTCCTATAAATATGTACGTTGTTCTTTGGGTTTAATCAAGCAATGAATAAGAGTAAAGTAAATTAGAGTAATTTAGCTATCTTTATCGCGTTTCATTAGTTTCGTAGAAGAGTTCGAGTTCCACGATACGTGAGATTTCGCTATCACGCATCAATTGGTATCAGAGCCTGGTTCGACAGAACCGAGCTTGCATAAGCTCCCAGGGCAGACATCGCTAATGTTCGACCACCAACGTTGGGAAGAGGTCCGACGAGCAATCACGCCCCGCAATGACAAGATGGACCGATCACCGATCGAGGTGCCTCCAACGAAGAAGCTAACCCTAGCTTCGTCATCATCAACCGCTGCCACAGTCGAGGAGGGAGTTCTGAAGCTTGTCGACGGCGACCCCCAATCGAGCTTGACGAACCGCCGAATAAACCTCTTATTCTAGCTGCAGCAAAGGTATCATTGTCCGCTCTAACTGGCGACTATAGTCCCGCGATCATCCGTTTCAATGCAACCACCCATCAAAGATCAGTTGTTGCCCTCATTGATAATGCAACCTGGCACAACTTTGTGAGTCGCGACGCTGATGGTAGGTTGTTCTTGACAGCTACTCCAATTCCTCCTTTCGAAGTTAAGCTCACCAATGGAGACGCCATAGTTTGTGAACAATGTTACAAGGCGGTCTCACTTGACGTACAAGGGGTTCAACTTGAGGAGGATTTGTATGAGCTGCCGCTGCGGGGCCTCCATGTCGTTTTCGGCGCTCATTGTCTTGAGCGGTTGAGCCCGGCCACGATTAATTGGCAGCTGACGACGATGCGCTTCAAATACAAAAGGGTATGGGTCACGTTGCAGGGGATTCTTGAACCTACGGATAGGGATACCGGCCTCGCTAACAGAGCAGAAAGCTCAAGTGAAGATTGAAGGCAAAGTGCAGCAGTGATGATTGAAGAAGAGCTGCTGAAGAACAGAAGAAGAACAGGGCAGAAACGTTTCGTTTCTGCCTTCCCCTCCACCTAGCTTAGGCGATGGTTAAAACGACGACGTGGAGACCTGAACTAACCGTTAGGTGGAGACAAGAGGCCAATGGAATGAAGACACGTGGCGAATGGAATTTATGTTTGTTTAAATTACAGTTTTAACGGACAATTCAAGTTTTACTGTTTGTTTGTCTTTTTCTCTGCTGAACACTTGTATATAATGAAATGATCAGAGACCCTAGCACCTTGCGGGTTTCCTCAATATTTTGCTCGCATTCTTCTTCCTCTCTTTAACCTGCTGCAACCCTAGCAGCAAGGTTTCTCTTATGGTATCAGAGCGGTGATCCGCTTTTCCGCTTCAAAAACATCAACATGAACACTCCACCTAGCAGCTCTGGAGGTGATGGTGAAGGTATCCCTTTTGGCAGCTTCAATCGCCAAACCCAGAATCAGCAAAGTCAACAAACCCAGGCTCAGATGGAAGCTCAGATCTACAACGGTAATCCTATGGGTTATGTGTTTGGAAGTCCTTATTATATCAATCCTAGTGAGAATCTGGGTCAATCTATAGTATCTGAGTTGTTGAATGAGAATAATTACCAGATGTGGCAGAGAGCCATTCGAATGGTTCTTAAAACTAAGCATAAGGTTGGGTTCATTGATGGAAGCCTACCCATGCCTGAACGAACTCATCCTGAGTTTGTTGTGTGGGATGCCTCAAACACCATAGTGCTGTGTTGGATCTTGAATTCTGTTGATAAGGATATACGTCGTAGTGTTTTGCAACATGATATAGCTCAGGCACTCTGGGATGAACTTAAGCAGAGATTTGGTAGTTGCAATGCACTAAGACTAGCCAATTTAAAGGAAGCTATTGCTCAGTTCAAGCAGGGAAGTCTGAGTGTGACTCAATACTATGTGCATTTGAAGGGATTATGGGAGGAATACCTCCAGTTTAACCCTATTGTGGATTGTGATTGTGTGGCCATAAGAACCAGGCCATGTGCAGCAGTAGAAGCATTTAAAGAAAGGCAAGAGACAGAATACCTGATCAAGTTCCTTCGAGGTCTCAGACCAGAATTTGACGTGGTACAAACTCAACTGTTGATGATGAAGCCTTTGCCTAGTGTGCAAGCAGCAGTGGATGATATCCTCCAACATGAGCAGAAGATCAAGTCAGACAAAGGACATTCTACTAGAAATGTTCTATCAGTTGCTTTAGCAGCACAAGGAGACAAGCAGAAGGGTTACACATCTTTTGAACCTGGTAATGGTGGGAGAGATAATGCAGAAGGTGAAAGGAAATTTTGCAGATACTGTAAGAAAGAAGGCCATCTGAAGGAGGAATGCTATAAGCTTAAGAACAAGAAGGCCAGGATGGCAGGAGAAAACAGTTTTGCTGGTGCTGTTGCTCAGTCAGATTCAGAGAGCAAAGATTCTAGTTCTACAGTTAGCAACCCAAGTCTGGAAACCAAGAGCAGTCAGAGTAGCCAATGGTTTACCAATGAAGAATTCACTAAGTTAAAGTCTCTCCTCCAGGCTGACAGCATGAGTCCATCACCACCTCTCTCACCCTCACTCAAGCATGCTGCTTATTCTGTTACTCAACATCTACCACAGTTCCCCAATTTTTCTGGTAAGTTTGTCCTGTCTTCACACAACCAGTATGGGTTAATGGGACTTGCTCAAGTATGGATATTGGATACTGGTGCTTCAGACCACATTTGCTGCACATTGTCTTTGTTAACTGATGCTAGGCCTACTGTCAATCAATTTGTCTATCTCCCTAATGGCAGTAAAGTACCAGTGAGTCATATAGGCACTGTTAGATTGCATCCAGGGTTCTACCTTCAAAACGTCCTCTTGGTCCCTAGTTTCACCTTCAACCTCATCTCAGTTAGTAAAATTACCCATGACCTACCTCTTTCTTTGCATTTTGAATCTGACTCTTGTCATATTCAGGACCTAGTGACCAAGAAGCTGATTGGATTTGCCAGACAAAGTAGAGGACTCTACCATCTTTTCCCCAACATTCCAGCCTTACCTCAACATCACACAGCAGCCACATACAATTTTCAACCTCACCAAATTGAACTCTGGCATTGGAGACTAGGTCACCCCAGCAAGGAAAGAGAACAACAACTTACTGGATGTAATAGGACTATTGTTAGGCATTGTGAGACTTGTCACTTAGCTAAACAAAGGAAACTGTCTTTTCCCCTCAGTACCAGTAGAGCACATTCTATTTTTGATCTTATCCATGTTGATATATGGGGCCCTCTTGCTGTTGAATCTTATGATGGTTACTCATATTTTCTTACCATTGTGGATGATCATTCACGTGCTGTTTGGACCTATTTAATGAGGTTGAAATAAGAAACAAGCAGAATTCTGGAAGCCTTTTGTGTAATGGTCAGTAGACAGTTTGGGAAATTGGTTAAGGTTATTCGAAGTGATCAGGGAAGTGAATTTCATATGGCTGAGTTCTATTCCACTCATGGAATAGAACATCAAACCTCTTGTGTAGAGACTCCTGAGCAAAATGCTCGTGTAGAAAGGAAACACCAGCATATATTAAACGTTGCTAGAGCATTGAGGTTTCAGGCAGGTTTACCCTTGGAATTTTGGAGTGACTGCATTTTACATGCAGTTCACCTTATCAACAGGCTGCCATCACCAGTCATCCATGATCTCACCCCCTTTGAACTGCTATACAACAAACCTCCAGTTCTTTCCCATCTAAAGGTTTTTGGCTGTTTAGCCTATGCTTCTACTTTGCTTAGGGATAGAACCAAGTTTCATCCCAGGGCTAGACAGTGTATGTTTCTTGGTTTTCTACCTGGAGTCAAAGGTTATAAGTTGTTTGACCTCCATACCCATGATGTGTTTGTTTCCAGACATGTCATGTTCCATGAAACCATTTTTCCTTTTAAACAAACCTCTTCCACCAATTCTTCTTCTCCAGATCCTACTACTTCCACCTTTTCCCCTTCTTCTTCTTCTTCCCAGACTACATCACTCTTTCCCAATCATTTTCCTAACCCAGACAATCTTCCCTCTCTGGTTCCTTCACCAAACTCTCAGAACACATCTCAGCCTTTTTCTTCTTCTTCCATGGATTCATTATCCAGTACACCTATCTCTTCTAATACATTTCCTTCTCTAAATCCTCATTTTCCCTCTTCTTCTTCTTCACACACTCCATCTCCTAGCCACTCATCTCCCACTGCTACTAATCATCCTAGCCCAGTCATTGACTGGCATGATCTGTATTCTGATGGGGAGGAACTGTGTGCTCAGGAACCTATTGATGAAGGGGAGGATCATGGATTGAGAAAGTCCACCAGAGTCAAGACCAAGCCTGTGTGGCACAAAGATTTCACGTTCTCAGGAGCCACTACCAGTCACTCCATACAAAACTTTGTGTCATTTGATAAGCTTCCTGAATCACATAAGATCTTTGTACTGAGTGTTATGCATGCAGAGGAACCAAAGACTTATGCAGAAGCTTGTAAGGAACTGGTCTGGAGGCTATCTATGAATGAAGAGATGGATGCACTGATAGCAAATGATACTTGGGATGAAGTAATCCTACCTGAAGGGAAGAAGGCTATAGACAACAAGTGGGTCTATAAGATCAAACACAAGGCAGATGGTTCCATAGAGAGACATAAATCAAGACTGGTAGTAAAAGGCTTCACACAGATCTATGGTATAGATTTTTTAGATACCTTTTCTCCTGTGGCAAAGATTAACTCAGTAAAGGCCTTGTTAGCAGTGGCAGCTTCACAAGATTGGCACATCCATCAAATGGATGTTGCCAATGCATTCCTCCATGGTGATTTGAATGAGGAGGTTTACATGAAACCACCACCTGGTGTGGTTGTTTCTGATCCCAGGATTGTGTTTAAGCTTAAAAAGTCTTTATATGGTTTGAAGCAGGCCAGTAGGCAATGGTTTGCCAAACTGACTGCATCATTGTTAAAGAATGGGTTCTCTCAGGCAGCTTCTGATTATTCCATGTTCATCAGGAGGTTCCAAGGCAGAATGCTTGTGGTATTGGTCTATGTAGATGACATCTTAATAGCTGGGAGTTCATTAAGTGATATTGAACAGACTAAAGGGTTTCTGGGAAAGGAGTTCAAAGTTAAAGATTTGGGAGTTCTGAAGTTTTTCTTGGGTTTAGAAGTTTACAGAGATCACAGGGGAATCTTTGTGAACCAAAGGAAGTACTGTATGGATCTTTTGGAAGAAACTGGTCACTTGGAGGCTAAGGATTGTCTTTCACCTGCAGATTGCAAGGTCCAATTGAGAGCAAAACAAGGGGAGCCTTTGACAAACCCTGAAGTCTATAAAAGACTTGTTGGAAGATTACATTACTTGACCATCACACGCCCTGATCTTACACATTCAGTGCAGCAGCTGTGTCAGTTTCAGAAAGATCCCCATACTGAACATCTACAGGCAGCTTACAGGGTGATAAGGTACATCAAACATGCACCAGGTCAAGGATTATGGTTCAAAAGTGGAACAAAGTTGGAATTGACAGGATTCTCAGACTCAGATTGGGCTAGCTGCCCAGATACCAGAAGATCAGTGACAGGGTATTGTACTCTGCTGGGTGGTTGTTTGCTAACATGGAAGTCCAAGAAACAAACTACTGTTTCAAGGTCTTCATCAGAGGCAGAGTATAGGGCTTTAGCACATTTGGTCTGTGAACTGGAATGGCTGAGAAGTCTGTTGGCTGAAATGGGGATTAACATTCCCCTACCAATTGATGTTTACTGTGATAATCGATCGGCTATACATATAGCAGAGAATCCGGTGTTCCACGAAAGGACAAAACATATTGAAATTGACTGTCACGTTACAAGGGAAAGACTGAGTTCAGGAATGATCAAGTTGCAGCATGTGAGGACAGATGATCAGTTAGCTGATCTGTTTACCAAAGGTTTAACACGTTACAGGTTGAGCTATCTGCTGGATAAGTTGGGAGTCTTTGATATGTACTCGCCAACTTATGGGGGAGTAACAGAGCAGAAAGCTCAAGTGAAGATTGAAGGCAAAGTGCAGCAGTGATGATTGAAGAAGAGCTGCTGAAGAACAGAAGAAGAACAGGGCAGAAACGTTTCGTTTCTGCCTTCCCCTCCACCTAGCTTAGGCGATGGTTAAAACGACGACGTGGAGACCTGAACTAACCGTTAGGTGGAGACAAGAGGCCAATGGAATGAAGACACGTGGCGAATGGAATTTATGTTTGTTTAAATTACAGTTTTAACGGACAATTCAAGTTTTACTGTTTGTTTGTCTTTTTCTCTGCTGAACACTAGTATATAATGAAATGATCAGAGACCCTAGCACCTTGCGGGTTTCCTCAATATTTTGCTCGCATTCTTCTTCCTCTTTAACCTGCTGCAACCCTAGCAGCAAGGTTTCTCTTACTCGCAAGACGTCGAACAGGGCTCAGTCAATGGGATCGTGGAGACCATCCCTTGATCCCCGTGCTGTCGAACGGCGTTGCAAGTGGAAGCTCTGCACCACAACCCTCGATGGCAGTCATGCGAACGGGAGAGAGGCCGAACGCACACGCGGGAGCCAACGTCAACAAGTCAACGTCGATTAATAAATGTTGTGTTGACGTAGGGATGCGTGGAACACAATTCGGAGGTGGGCATGGACACGGGGTCGTGACGGAGAGGTGCTTGCGCATGCATGGGACGATATTGGAGCAATGCCGCCGGCAGGAAGGCTCCCTACGCCGCTACTGCCCATCAAGCGATCAAATCGAGCTTCAAGGCTTCCACATGGGAAGATCAATAAAGAGGTTGGCCGAGCTATCCCATCTGCTTCCATTGACCTTCTAACAACGACAACTAGCAAGGATGCCACCGGGACTAAGAAGTTCGATCTCGGCCTCGCCGGGATTAAAAGAAGGACCGCCCTCTCATATCACGAGCTAGAGGGATCGCTCGCCCCGCCGTTGGCCAGCGATGGGTTGGCTATTTCCACAGCAAACGTTGACGATGTCATCGCCATTCGCCTTAAAGGGGGAGGCAATTCTATCGTAGGAAGAAGATGAAGAAGCAACGTGAAGTTGCTGATGAAACCACATATGAATCCTTGCCGCCGCGAGAGGGAGCCCTCGTCGTGTTGGAGAAAGCCAAGGATGAAGATGAAGCTATTTCCCTCGATGTTTCACCGCCACGTACCATCGATGTAACAATAGTGGTTGCGCCTCCATTGATTCACAAGGCGGAGGCTGGCGAACTCGAGTAAGGTACTCTGGGAGTGGTCTGTTCTGATTATGGGCAAGTGAGTCACGAGCCCATGCCAAGAAGGGAGATGACGAGTAGGCTGGAGGGCGCGAATGGAAAGCTGAAGGTGGCCACCATAATTTCCACCATGAGTGCGGCTACTGTAGACTCATCTCCTACCATGGTTCTATCACCCAACACTTTAATTTGATGTCATTTGCGGGACGACTTGGAACACAATCAGGAGGTAGAGGAAATCACGTGAGCATGCCCAATAATTATTTAGAAGGAAAGAAAGTTTATCATGGGTCTCGTGGCATTTGGGAAGAGTCAACAACACGAGAAGTTCCCTCGAGCCTGCATTCAGCTAAAAGGCTCTTGATGCTTGGATCGCCAACTACACGTATTGGGATGATAGCTAATAATGATGGGGGATTGGACTGGGTACTGAAGCTTAATTGGAAGTATCGCAAACGCAGGTGTTGTCGTCCAAACCTCACCATTGCTCATTACAAGTTGCGTGGAAGCTTCTTCCTTATCGATCCAGGTTGAGAAGTCGCCTGAACTTCGGGGACGAAGTTTTTCAAAGGGGGGAGATTTGGTGCATTATAACTCTCGTGGGCCTTGGTGCCGAGTTGGGCTTAGTAATTAGGGGATTGTTATTAGTTAATTCTCATATTATTGTGGCTATTCGTATTAGTTTATTGTGTCTTGTTGAGGAAGTTAGTGTTTACTTGTTGGGTTAGGATTAGTTTACCTTGTTGGAGAGGGAAAGGGTTAGGAGAGTAGTCATATAAATATGTACTTTGTTCTTTCGGTTTAATCAAGCAATGAATAAGAGTAAAGTAAATTAGAGTAATTTAGCTATCTTTATCGCGTTTCATTAGTTTCGTAGAAGAGTTCGAGTTTCACGATACGTGAGATTCCGCAATCACGCATCAGACAAACCGCTGTGAACCGCACGGAACTATTTTTGCGGTCAATCCAAAGCGCACCGTAAAGCTTGCGGTCTCACTTGCGGTCCAACTATTAAGCGGTCAATGGTTTGCGGTTTGGAACGACCAAAACCGCACTGTTGTGATTCAAAACCGCAAACCACTAAAAGGTCACTCAAAGTCGTCGTCCACTGGTGGCGCAACCGATTTCCACTGCCGTTCCCCAACTTTCCCATTCCTCTAGCTTTCTGTTCTCGCCGCCTTCCCCAGCTTCTCGTTCCCTCTTGACGATCCTATTGGGATGAATAGCTTTGAAAAGTTATAAATGAAATTCCTAATTAATTATCCAGTATTTTCCCATAATACGAAATAAGATGGATAATTAATAAAAGGAATCATGAAGATAATTAGGATTAATTATCTTAATAGATTTTATTTTAATTATGAAAGTAATTATTTCCCTAATTAAAATGTGACTTATTTCCAAAGAAAGAGGGAATATTCTGGGTTTTCTGCTCTTATAAATAGCAGACTACCCAGACCCTCTAAACATATCTCAGAAGAGCAGAAACACGAGAGAGTGAATTCATTAAGCTACACGAGAGAGTGTTTTATCCTAGAGGCGACCGCTGATAGTCTGTTGTGCGCAATACGAGGCAGTGTCGCGACTCAACCAAATCGATAACCCTAATTTTTCTGTTCGGTTTCTAACAATTTTAAGACATTCGGTCGTTGTCGTTTCTACTGAACAAGACCGGTTCGTTCAAACCGGTTACTACCGATTCTGGAGTTCATGGCTGCTTTACTCGTCGGATTTTTCCATTCCGTCTGCCCGTGGCCGGATCGTGAACCAGATTTGCATCTCGACAAACATCCGCCTATTAATGGAAAAAATCCCATAATACACTTATTATTAAAAAAAATTCCCAAAATACAATACTTATAAAAATATTTCCCATAATACAGCAGTTTGGTTATCACCGCTGCAAACAAAAACAGTGATGGAAATCACCATTTTTGACCAAAACAGTGATGCTATCATCGCTGTTGTCAATGACGGTGATTAACTCACCGTAGATTTGCGACGCGGTGAACATCTTCACCGTTGAATCCAAAAGCGGTGAAAGTGCGCGGATCGCTGACGTGGACGAGGGCGGGGACTTCACCGCTGAAGACCAAAGCGGTGATAGCCCCGCTTTCCACGTCAGCGATCCGCGCCACCCGCGCGTTCACCGCTGCCGTTGGATGCAGTGAGGCGCGGATTGTGGTTTTTCTCCACGATCCGATGCCTCACGCCGCGCCACGTCATGAATCCAGGCCATCACCGCCTTTGTTGGACGCAGTGATTTCACTGCCTTCGTCAGAAGCGGTGATTGGTCCCTGGTAATTTTTCCAGCGGCTCTTTCCCCCCTTTCCCCTATAAATACCACTCCCCCCCCCCTCATTCCAAACCACACCAAAATCTTATACTTCTTTCTCCCTCCTTTACTTTTCTCTAGTTTCGTTCTAAGTATGCTCTGTGGTTGCGGCTAAGTCCGATCTTCCACATCAGAAAGAATTACTAGAGTTAGTTTTTGTTTTGTTTTGTCGATACTCTCGCTAGCTTTTCGTCAAAAAATGGACGAAGAGGCTTTGAGAGTACGTAAATTAATTATATTCTTTTGTGATTTTTTTTTACATGGGTGCTAAAATTTAAATTGATTTTATATTTTTTATAGATGGGTGCTGAGATATACTTAGATTGTATATCGATCCTCGATTGTATATTGATCCTGGCCCAAGGGATCGAAGGTATTTAACCGGGCAAGATCAACATCGCTCCCGTTCAATTTGGAACAATAATCCGGTAGACACTAAATTTATTTCAATAGCTTTAAAGTTTTTATTTTGCTTTCTATTGACTGATAATATTGTGTTTTTTGTTTTGTAGGAATCACTTATTCCCATCGCTCATCGAGGGACATGTCGATTGCCCCGTTGGCATGATCGACTGCAGCCCTATATAGAGAGGACGGGATTGCACATGCTGAGGCACTTTACGAAGCTTGATATTGACAACGATCTGCTGACGACAATGGCAGAGCGATGGCGCCCCGAGCTGCATACCTTCCACTTTCCCGAGGGTGAAATGACGATCACCCTCAAAGATGTTGCCATCCTCACCGGGCTCCCGATCACCGGAGATGCCATCATCGACAGCTCAAAAAAACCGGATGATGGTTGGGGGCCGTTGATTCTAGAGCGTTTGGGGTTCAACATGCCGACCACCACGCCCGTCGACGGGCATGGGCATCCACCACTGTATGCGGGGCAAGTATCGGTCCCGTGGCTTGTTGACCACATCCAAATGGAGGTTAACATAGGCCCCGACACTCCTGAAGATCAGGTGGAGCGGTATGCACATGTCTACCTAATTGGTTTGGTTGGTGGGTTTCTGTTTCCCGACAAGTCAAACCGGTGGATACAAGGCATGTGGTTAAATATGCTCCTCGGTGACTGGGACGAGATCGGGAGAAAAAGTTGGGGGTCGGCCGTCTTGGCTGGGATCTACCGAGAGTTGTGTACTTGCTCGAGGTTGGGAGCGAAACAAGCTGGTGGTGCGATGTTCATACTCCAACTCTGGGCATGGGAGCATCTCCGTTTTTAGCACCTCGAGACCCTCGGGAATTCTGGTTGCCAGACGATGAGCTACGATTTGTAGCAAATCCCCCATATGGTTTCAAGTAAGTTTAATTTAAGTTTAATTTATTTTAGATATGCAATGGTAGTATTTTAGTGAATTTAGATCTATTCCAAGTAAGCGAATTTAGTGAATTTTAGTGAATTTAGATCTATTCCAAGTAAGCGAATTTAGTGAATTTTAGTGAACTTAGATATCTTTCAAGCAAGGAAATTAAGTGACATTTTAGGTCTGCAATTATAGTATTTAGTGAATTTAGATATCTTCCAAGTTAGCAAATTTTGAATTTTTCTAACCAAATCCTATTTAGCTATTTTAGATTATTGCCAAGTAAACATCTATGCCATAAAAATTGCTTATATTGATACTTTTGCTTAATTAGGTGGATCGGAGCAAATACAAACGACCACCAGCCCGAACACTCTTTGCTGTTTTATCGTGCTGAATTCGATAAGCCTTGGTGGAACCAGGTAAAAATACTTAAATTTCATCATTTTCAATTTTTTAGGTGGAGTGGATATAATTTGTACTAATTCCATGAACTATAATGATTGTAGGCGGTATGGGACCCATATCCAAATGAAGTGGTTGAGTTGCATCGTCTTAGACGTCCCGAGGATGAAGAGACATGGTTGTGCAAGGTGCCCTTAATCTGCTTCCACATGGTGGAATGGCATCTGCCCGATCGATCTTTGAGGCAATATCGATTGGAGCAACCAATTCCAGCATCCCCACCTCAAGGGTTCAGGGAGCTCCACGCCATTGACCTACGCCACACCAAAAAGGATTGGCAAAAGAAGCATGAATTCTAGATCAACATATGGGAGAATCGAAATCAGTGGGTGGTCCAAGGGATGCCGGAGACAAGGCCAATGGGGTACCACGATGGCTACATGCGGTGGTATCGAAATTTCACGCTCAGATGGGTGTCAAAGCAAGGTGCTGTTTGGGGCGCAGTGGTAAGTGAATTCCATTTTGGCCTCTTTGTCTAAATTTTTGGAAGTATGATTACATGCCTATATTAGCTAGAATGTTAATTAATTAGGTAATTTTTGGAAGTATGATTACATGCCTATATTAGCTAGAATGTTAATTAATTAGTTAATTTTTGGAAGTGTGATTACATGCGTATGTTAGTTAATTTTGTACAACAATGTCTAAAATTTTTGGAAGTATGATTACATGCCTTTGTTAGATTTAAGGATGCCCCTTTGTCTTAATGTTAGTTAATTTTGTACAACAATTTATTAGGTTGACGGTTTGGAACATGCCAAGCACACTGTCGAGAGTGCACCCACCATGGATGAGCGGAAGACCTCTTTTTTGCGTAGGCTTTTCAACAACCTGCTCAGTTGTACTCGAGAGCAAAGGAGGGATGTCGTATTATACCCTCCAATGCCTGCACCGCCCCGACCGTCATTTCGTGCTGATGAGAGGATCGTGCTAATGTTCGAGTTTGTCACCCGACCATTCCACCGAATAATAAGCCGAAACTTCTTAAATTTAACCATGTCTGCAATTTATAATAATTAAGTATAGTATATAATTAGTACATTAGGGATACAAAAACAATATCATCCAAACCCATAAACAAACGCATGTAATTGATCTATCATGAGAAAACTAAACAAATTCATCTAAATTCATAACTAATTCACTACTATCATATCACAATTAATCTAAATATATCATAATATATTTTTCAATAACCGTAATTCACTAAATACAGACATATAATTACTAACACATCAACATGTACACAATACATAATTATAACATACCGACTCCCGATCTATCATGAGAAAACTAATCAAATTCATCTAAATTCATAACTAATTAACTAACATCTATCATATTATAATTAATCTAAATATATCATAACATATTTTCCAATAACCGCAATTCACTAAATACAGACATATAAATTACTAACACATCAACATGTAAACATTACATAATTATAACATACCGAATCCCGACGAGTTTCTTGAGCAGTAAACCAACTCCAAACCAGCTGAGAAAACGACTAATAAAACACTAATTTTTGTACTAATTTTCTGTAAAGTAGCAATAGGGGAAGTGGAGGTCAGTATTTATAGAAATTTTTTTTTGCAATCACCGCTCTGGACAAAAACAGTGATGTGTTCACCGCCATTGTCCTCAGCGGTGATTGCTTGGTAGCTGTGACCTAATTTCCACCTACCAGGCCGGTAAAACGTGTCAATTATCACCGCTTTACACATCAGCGATGATATCATCGCTTTACACATCAGCGGTGATAAGGTCTCCTTTCACCGTTTTGGTACAAAGCGATGATGCTTTCATCGCTTTTAACCAAGACAGTGATGTAATCACCGTTTTGGTCCAAAACGGTGAAAGGATCATCGCTTTTGTCCAAGACAGTGATAGCATCACTGTTTTGGTCCAAAGCGATGATACTATCACCGTTTTGGCCAAAAACGGTGATTACTTTCACTGTCTTGGTTTGCAGCGGTGATAACCAAACTGCTGTATTTTGGGAAATAATTTTATAAGTACTGTATTTTGGGAATTTTTTTTAATAATTGGTGTATTATGGGGTTTTTTCCCCTATCAACAAGGGAATCAATTTCCCCAATTGCAATTATTGTTTCCTTCACCGATTTGCAGTCACGGTAACCTAGATAAAGAAGGAACATGTATGAGTTCTGTTTGCGTTTGAGAGCTAAGTTCATTATTACGGATTGCTTTAGTTAATTAATTGTCCCTAAATAATTAACACCTTTTGTCCGTAAGTCCCACTCAGCATGAGGGAACTTTGATGTTTGCGGTGGGGAATGTGTAGAGATAAGGAAAAAGAGGGTTTTTTCTTTTGGGTTTTTTTTCCAAGAGCACTTTTACTATGCTATATAGCATTGCTGTTTATTGTACAACTTAAAGTTGTATCATAACATTAAATGTATAAGTTTAGGTTGTACCATAAAGCAATTTGTATCATTATGTTATGGTACAACTTTACAACTTGAAGTTGTACTATCACATAAAAGTACAAGTTCAAGTTGTACCATAAAAGAATTTGTACAAAAAGTATAGGTACAATCTGAAATTGTACCATAACGTAAATGTACAATTTTAAGTTGTACCATAAAAACAAAACCCAATAGCACAAATACTATATAGCATTGTAAAATTTCTCCTTTTCTACTGGTGAATAGAAGCTAGATCTCGGCTTTGTCGCCGCTTTGTGTCGCGGCTGCTTTCAGAGCCAATGGAGTCCAAGAACGATGAAGAAAGGCTAGACGTAATATGGGCCAGGCTAAATCCGTCCTTCCATTGGCTATAATTGAAAGAATCGATCTTCTTAATTTGGGCCCGCAAGTTCTAGTTTCGTGGGTTCTTTAATTGTTATTCTGTTGTGTAAAATCCAAATATAACTTAACCCTCCTTTTCCTTATGGGTGAAATAACGAGGCCGAGAGGAATGATGAAAAAATCCACCCTGGTGACGTAGAGTTAGAGTGGTGGATCCAGGTCGTGGGTGTCGGCTCCTTAAGTGCTGGAACGGACACCTTCTACTCCTCCGATTGGTGGAAGCTGTGAAAGAAAAAATGTTTGGAAATTGAGAGGCTAGATGTGGTGCTAGCTATTCGTGCAAATTGAGAATGCATCGATTCATTGAAAAAAGATAATAATCAAAACCTTCTTTATGAATCATTATGATGAATGATAAGCGGATCTATTTCACTTGAATTCTATGCATGGTATAGAGAAACTCATATGAATACGAGAAAGTAAATGGAATTGATGCATGTATATATCGACATTGAAATGTATTATCTCGATGATTAGAGTATAAATATAATACATGTGGAATAGAATGATTTTTTTAAATGCGTGCATATATGGGAAGAATATATGGGAATAGAAAGGGTTAATTGCCCATTGTGACGATATTGCAAGAACTACTGTTGTCAGTACTACATGAACCACTAAGGTTGCTCTGAAACATTAAGTTTCAAGAATGGGAGCAACAAGTCTAACCATATCCACACCAGTTAGAATGGTATACTCTTCGTGGTAACCAAGAGATTGCCAATCAATCCTCTAAGAATGACGCTATTTTTCCCTGCTATGATTGCGGGAAACTAGGTCATATGACACGAAAGTGTATGAACAAGTTTACATGGTATCATCATTAACTTGAGTAAAGAAGAGGATTGGTAATAGAGGATGACCTTTATGGTAACTCTAAAGAATGGTTGGTGGAGAATGATGCCTCAAGGCATCTGTATGATAAACAAGTTAAGCTCAATCATACATTATTGATGTGTGAGAAGAGAGTGTTGTTGGATTCAACCTTCATTACTATTGTTGATGGTCCTCGAAAGTGGAAGATAACCTTACCTCTAGAAAGTCGTTGACTATGCTAGATGTAAGGAATGATTAAGTAAATAAAATGAATTCTTCCAAGTGTCAGTGTGAAGAATTAGAATATCCAAAGTAACATTCCCATATTATTATTGGATACTTTAGATAAATTTGAATTTGTATCCAAGTTGAATGACCCATAAAAATATCTTTAGAAAATTAGAATCGAAAGATTTTATCTATCTTGATAATGGGTAAACATGATGGAAAGGCAATAAATAATTTATTGTTTTTTTAGAGTGATATGATTGTCTGCCTAGTTATTTGAGATGTAAATGTCTTGAAATGCTTTAACACATTATTAATGACTGAACTGATTATTCGATATCTTGTATGCTAGCAGTAGAGCTAAAGAATCAGTGTAATATGATATGAGTGTGTTTTATTCGTCGTGTCGTCAATAGTAAAACACATAGGTACAATTAATGGAATACTCATTATGTTGTGAAATCCATTATTGCCAATAGACTTCCATTTAAAATCAAGAAATAGTGGGGGTAATGTTCTACCTACTATTAGAAATAATGGATCTAGTGGGGGTAATGATTCTGAGTATGAGCTTAGAAGAGACAAATGAACCACAAATCACGAAAGGATTTTGGTAATGAATTTGTTATTTACACCCTAAGAAAGAAAGATCCTACAAGTCTGCTAGAAGTTCGAACTCTCATCAAGATGCAGATTTGTGGGAGAATCCTTTATTAAGGAAATGGAATTATTGGAGTCTAATAAGACTTAGAATCTTGTAGAGTTACCTCTCGGTCGTAAGTCGTGGGTAATATAGCGATGGAATCGAACAAGATTCGGCATCTTTGAGAACTACCTCTTGACAATGAATCCATGGGTAATAAATGGATGTTTAAATGAAAATCGAAACCTGATAGTTTAGTTTATGAGTATAAGGATCGTATAGTAGCTAAGGCTTAGGAGAAGAAGGGAAAATTGTAGATTTCTTTGATATCCATTCGCCAATATGTAGAAGAACATTCATGTGTTGTGTATCATATGAATGTTAATGGTGAATTAGATAAAGAAATCTACATGAGACTACCTAAGAGGTTGTTATTTTTGAACATGTTTCTAGAGTCTATGGTTAGACAAATCATGATAGAATTTGAATTAGACTCAGAAACAGTGGCATGAACAAACAAGTTCTCTCTCATGGTTTTAAAATGAAAGTGACAAGTTCATTAAGTACAAATTTGAGAATGAACTTGCATTATGAATGACACGTCGATCTTTGGTACAAAGACTCGTGATGTCAATATTACGATGATGTTTGAGAATTTTGAATGTGAAGGACATGAATGAAGCATGTGTTAGGCTAGGAGATCCAGGTGACTATGACAATGAAATAGATTTCCTATAGATTAGTTTAACTATATAGTTAAGATCTAGAAGATATACAAGTTGTACGCTTGCATAAATGGTTGATGATGTTAGTGTAAATATTAATGAACACTCGAAATGGTGTAAGAAACTAAGAAAGTTAGAATATACTAGCATCGATAGTCTGCCAGAGGCAACTAATAAACATGAGACCCAATTTAGTGGTGGGTACTTGGCAGCCTTACTGATTGTCCTAGTATGAAGCATTGAATGCTATTGAAAAGGGTCATGAGACACCTTAAGAGAACAGTTGACCTTGATATAAGTTATCAACGGTTTCTTGATGTATTGGTAGGGTATATTGATGCAGACGAGAATACCCTATAGAGGAATCCAAGGCATCCAGTGGACATGTTTTAAACATCACTGGAAGAGTTGTGTCTTGGAATTCTAAGAAGTAAATGATCCAAGCTCAATCAACTAAGAAATAAAAAAAGATAGAGCTAGCAATGGCTAGTAAAGAGGAAAGTTGATTGAGAGGGTCATTACTGGAGATTCCCTTATGGGAAAGACCAATCCCTCCGGTAGTTGATTCATTGTAATAGCACCGCAGCTATTACTAAAGAAGGGGGCCGGTTCTAGAACGAAAAGAGACGACAAATTCGTCGTAGGCACAGTACTGTAAGAGAACTCCTAATGATAGGAGCAATGAGGGTAGATCAGGTAAGATCCTAACAGAATCTAGTTGATCCTTTGACGAAAGGATTATCTAGAGAGAAAAGTCCAAAATACCACAAAGGTATGAGACTTATGCCTACCGAACCATGGATTACAAGTGATGGTAACCCGACCCGATAGACTGGAGATCCCAAGAAACGGGTTGAATGGGTAATAACAAGTCATGAGTAATATTGAGAAAAGTTCATGCATGGTGAAGCATGAATCCCAAAGCCTTGGAGGTTGAGTTAAACTCTTAATGAGATCTATACTCTATATGGAGTGAAGTACTTTACCTTGGGGGTACTTCTGATAGACTTACCTATGTGAATGTGGGAGTGAGGAAACTCCCTATGGAACTTAGGAGATACAAAGTTGCTAGAGCGTCCACTAAACTGGGATAACGTGCATGGCCATAAACGCACGGCCTATGAGAGAATATCACTCAATGAAAAGATCTGGTGTTCTACATTGTCTGAGATAGGGTTCAAGACTACGAGTCACCCTTATGAAATCAGAAGTGTAACCACTACGCTAAGGTTCAAATCTTCGCGATACCTTAGCTTATGCCCGATCTTATGGAACCGTTGATGCTCAAGATAGTTTCAAAACTATTCAAGTGGGGGATTGTTGGGATGAATAGTTTTGAAAAGCTATAAATGAAATTCCTAATTAATTATACAGTATTTTCCCATAATACGAAAATAAGATGGATGATTAATAAAAGGAATATTATGGAGATAATTAGGATTAATTATCTTAATAGATTATATATTAATTATGGGAGTAATTATCTCCCTAATTAAAATGTGACTTATTCCCAAAGAGAGAGGGAATATTCTGGGTTTTCTGCTCCTATAGATAGCAGACTCCCCAGACCCTCTAAATATACCTCAGAAGAGCAGAAACACGAGAGAGAGTAAATTCATAGAGCTCGATTTTTCGCACAAAACCGATGAGCAACAAAATTAGAATGACTGTTTTATCCTGGAGGCGACCGGCTGATAGTCTGCTGTGCGCAATACGAGGCAGTGCCGCGAACGTCTTAAAGAAAGCGACCTAGTCCGCGACTCAGCCAAATCGGTAACCCTAATTTTTTTGTTCGGTTTCTAACAAATCGCTCTCATAATATGTTTTCAGTTTTCACCGCCTTCCAACTTCCGAATCCCTCTCATATTTGTTATGGTTTCTGTAATGGTTAATGGTTTTACTTGCCAGTACAAGTACACGCAAAATTAAGGTGTGTATAATGGATGGCTTTTTGTTGCCATTATAATTCCTTTTGGCAGTAGTCATCACTCATCAACAGCCTGGGTGCTCTGTTTTGGTGTCAAAGAAATCGAGTCGATGCGCTGTTAGGCAGTAGGAATGTTATTTAATTATATATGAACCATAATGAATTGCGGTAAAATATGTGGTGCGGTCTAGATCGTACCAAACCGCTAATTTATGCGATTTGGTTTGATCGCATCAATAATATTGCGGTCGAACATGCGGTGCAATCCAATTAAGATGCGGTGTGGTGTGGTTTATATCAATACGGTGCGGTCCAAACCGCACCAATGCCCACCTCTAGATGCAACAACCTTCGAGTTAGACTAGATTACCATAACTAATCTGTTAGACAAACAAAGTGACCATATGACAACATTTTTTCAAAGTTATGCAATTTCTTGTTTTACAATTTTGCTTTTTTACGGGTTTTTTTTAAGTAGCGGAGCGCTTAAGGGCGCCACAACCTTTACTCATGAGCTAAATGAGGAGTTTGCACACCAAGGTGGTCAAAATCATTAGTATCATTTATAGTGCAAACTTAAAACTGCCATCCCCATTAAAAAATTTCTGCATCTTGAGTGATTTTCGGGTGTTGACGTGGCTGGCATTTGGCGGGTGCATTTTTCGGAAGGGTAACGTGGGATTTGGTGACATAAATCATGTCTTTTCTCTTCCTTCAATTTCTCCTCGCAAGCTGCAACTACCTAACTGCATCCCCACAATCTGAATCTCCTCATGCCGCAGAACGGTGAGAACTCTCCATTAACAAACCGGTGTGGTTGTTCGCCGACGGACATCCACCTCTCGGGCAGCAGGCAACCCTCCTCCGCAGCATCCCAATCTCATTTAGGCGGCAAATACTCGACGTCCCACCCTCTATATAGTAGTTGAATCGAGTCTCGACGAGATTCACCTACGCCGGCGTACAATGAGAAGTCGCATATGCTGCTACAAACCTGACTCCCTGCTTCCGACTCATGAAACCACGAGTTTCGATGGTATCGTTGGTCTTCCTTACCGTTGATGAATAAATGCATTTTGGTTAGTCTGGCCTTCGATTACCCCAAAAATTAGCAGTTCCAGTCTATGAAGCTCGAACGCTGGAAGCAAGTAGCAATTGCAGAGAACTGGTCTCTGAATTGGAAATTGAATTGAGTGATAGGGTGATTCAAATGGTTGGATCGAAATCATCCAAGATACTTGAACAGTCACTGCAGCTCAAGCAACAGGAAGAGAAGGCAAATTGGTTGGTTGGGAAAGTGGATGGGTTAGAGAGAAAGGTTGACAAACTAATGAGGAGATGGGAGAAAAGAATGAAGAAATAGATAGGCAAAAAGAGGAATTTGAATTGAAAATCTTTAGTGATAGAAAGGTTACTGAAGAGGAGAAGTTCAAGCTTGAGGAGAAGATTCATGAACTCGAAAGGAATCTGAAGGAGAAAAGTAGAGAAGTGGAGGAGGGAAGAGCATTGATAGGTAATCCTTTTTGGCTTTTTCTAGCTTGATCTCATGGTTCTAATCTCGAATCTTGAGTGTTTCATGGTCTATCTAGGCACTACAAGAAAAACTAATGATAACCACGGTTACCTACTGACACTCGCCCATGACCGTCGGTATCTATAAATTGTTGACGGGCAAAGTGGACGGAATATTTGACCGTCGGTATCTAATTGATGTTGAGATGCAGCAAAGCTATATAATTAACACAGGCCACAATTTATTTCGTTTTCCCTTTTTCTTTTACTTAAAAAGTTAAATACAAAAGATAAAATAAAGCATTTTTTTTCCATTGATTTAATATTAGTCTCAAAGAGATCGTGACTCGTGAGTCGTGAGACAGAGGATACAAGTCCAGAGAGAAAGAGAGAGGAGAGAGAAAGAGGGCGAGAGGGTTGTGGCCAGTGGAGATCCAACCACACAATCGAGAGAGAGAGAGAGAGAGAGAGAGAGAGCACGCAGTGAAGCTGAAATTTTGTTTCCTCAATTGCCGCGTAGCTTCCTCATCGATTGAAAACCCTAAATTGACCAGCTTCTGTGCCAATGTCAACGGAGCATCTCGCAACCGTTCGGATTTGTCAGCAGGAGAAGTGAATTTCTCATGTGTCTTGTAGAATTTCGACGCGCTATAGATGGGATGGACGATGGCGCACTCAGAATTGCTCTGTCACCGCCTATCATCTTCACTCTCAGTCATGGGTGATCTGAGCCACATCCACTATCCTGTAAGATCTGAATCGAGGTAAGAGTTCTGGTGGTGAGATGTTCGATTGAGTTAGTACTCTCAATTGGGGGTTTTTCTCAAACCCTAAGTTTTCTATTCTCAACCGAGTCTCCTCTGTTGCTTCATCCCTTAACCGATTCGTACGCGTTTGTTTGGGTGCTTGACTAATGCATGTTGAGTCTATTTGGTGATTGTTTTGGTAGTTGAGAAGTTAATTGATCCTAAAACTCAAAATACAACATTACTCTGCAAGTCATGTGATTGAAATTCTGGAATCGGCCCTGTTTTTGACTTCTTACACACCCTGTCATTCATGCAGTACAACCTTTAGGCCATCAGGGAAGAAATTAGAAGAGAAGAGTATGTCTCAATGATGCTTTTGAATCAAAAGTTTTGATGATTCATTTTATCATCAATGATGTCAGTTGAATTCTTGCTCCAAATAGTTGTCCTGGATATGCATGAACTAAATTATCATTCTTAATTTGGTGGTAATCATTGCTACTTTTAAATTCAGTTGTGTATAACTAATTAGCATATGTCTTTCTCCTCGTTCTAGCTAGCGCTCTAATAGCTGTGTCTTTTTCTTGGCAGGGACTACAAGCATGTCAATGATAAACACTTAATTACCCAATTGGAAAGGTAGGTAATGAGGCAAAAATGATAGAACTATGTCTGGTAGCTAAAAGAAATGTGTCAATTTAGAGAACATTTACTAACATTTTGGTGAATCTGAATCTTTCCTAAGGTTCTGTTGAGGGTAAAAATCATCATGCAGTGTTTTGTTAGCTTCCTGTTAAGGCTGTAAATGAAATTTATTTCAAAGGAAACTCGTGTTTGTAATTTGCAACTGGTAGTCAAGTATTGGGTTTCCTAACTCACATCTATTTTCCAAGTTTTCACCTTATTTTCTGTACCAATGAATGATTGGTAATAAAATTTCCTAGTTCTCCTAATCGTTTCATTCCCATGATGCTCTTGTTCTTTTGCAGGTGAAATATGAGAGAGTTCTTGAGCTTCTGACAACAATATAAATGTTCAGTGTAGTGTTAAGGTGTGCTCCTGCTATTGAATTTCTTCCTTCCTTCCTTCCTTCAAAATAGCAGTTTATTGAGCCTCTATGTCTTCTGTGTTCTGGTAAGCCTATTGAGAAGGAAACTGAATATTTGTGGGCTTTATCATGGATGGTAGATCAAAATACGGTGGTGAGGTTTCTTAAAGCTATTTTGCACTACAAATTATTACTTTACTCTATTGTTCATATTTCATGGCTTTGTGCAATTGTGCTAGCTACTACTTTTCTGTTTGAATGCTAATAAGCTGTTACAGTAGTAGGTTATGTGATGAATCCTATATGCTTCCTCTCTGCTTCGTCTACTCATGTTGCTTGCTTCTACTCTCTTTTCCTACAGGTTTCTTTCTCCTTCAATTTCATAATTTTATTTTTATTTTGGTTGGCCGCAGTTTTTGAATCTTTGCAAGCAGGTCAGATGTATAACTTTCTTCTGCAGGGAAGAGAGTTGTGAAGCCGTCAAAGATGACGTCAAAGGGCCTGCCTGCCGGAATGTTAATTGCTGTCTGGGGGTGGTTGAGAAAGATGGAGTTACTTTTGCAAGTGGAATTGTTCAGGAGAATGATCTAGTTTCTTTATTCTGCCTTAGACATCTGATTACTGTGCTGCCTTAACTTTTCTGGAAACAGATCGAGCTTTCCCCACAGACTGATATTCTTAAGACTGGTAAATTGAAGGAGCTTGTCTCTTATGATCCTGACTGGTATTATATAAGAGCTGGTAAGTACTATCACTTCTATGCAAATGACCGACACATATGTAATTGCATTCTATGATCATTCAATCATTTATCGTTGTAATTCGATAATGATTATGACAGCAGCCTCTTTGCCTTGATTTCTCAGCCGTTACTTGTTCTGATGTCTTCTCTTTGCTTTTAAGTATAGAGAAGGACATTCCACCAAAAAAAAAAAAAGTATGAACAAGGACATTAGGTGATATGGGTAAGGCTGGTGTTCACTATGTGTCAGTGTTGACTTGATAAACCAGAAATGAATTGGGAGAACACTCTGTCTCTTTATTTTATGAAATTGGTGTTTTTTTACATGTGGCAATGGCTTTGTTCATGTCCTGGTACTTCTTTTCAGAACGACTACAAACTCTGAAGGTGTGAATTACGCGAAGTAAATCTTGAATTAATTTGTGGCTCAGCACTTAGACATAGAACTTTCAATTTATGTTTTCTAGAACCCTTTAGTAGCTTGCCAAGACCTGTTTATTGCATGCCATAATAAACACAGCCCGTGATTCAGTAGCGTACTAATGCATGAAATTCTCGAGACAGATCACGTGGATGAGAGTGACGACGAAGGTGCAGTGTATAAGTATTATACTGCTAAAGCATCAACGAAAAAGGAGAGAACAGCTCGAGCGGGAAGGTCAAGATGGAAATCAAATCTATAGGCTACATTAGAGTTTGAGAAATGAAAAGTAGTGTTTTCAGTTGATGACTAAGGAATGATGGAGAAGGAAGGTCAAGATAGAAATTAAATATGTTGTCCAATTTTGTCAGAGTTCATAAAGGCAACAGAACTTTTATAGTCTCTAGACTCCTGATCTTGGGGATTCTCTTCTTATTGATTGAGTATTTGTTGGTTTCTATTTCGCAGAAGCAAAAGTGTGTTCGTCGGGAAGATCTTGCTGCAGAATTCAAGATGTGAACTTAGGTATGTTCCTCCCCTTATACTCTTATAAGAATACTCTAAATTCTTTTTCTCAACTGCGTAACGCCCTATTCTTACTAAAGTCATCTAACACGGTTGCTACATTAATGAAACTGGACTTATTATAACAAATGGTGAATCAGATTGTTAACAACATCTATAGTTTCATAAATACGGTTGCTACATTAATGAAACTGGACTTATTATCAATTAATAACGAATACATTTTACAATAAAAATGATGGCTGAAAATGTTAATAACACATAGATTTTATATAAAATAAGTTCGTGATTTAATTAAAATGCTAATAATAAAATATAAGAACTACTACCCACGTTAATGACCTAAACCATTTCGATTAACGATGATGAAACAGACTTTCAATAACATATACAATTTTATATAATATATTGGACCCTACTAAACTATGCTGCAGAAACTTTAACACACATTCTTAATTAACTTTTCCTCTGCGGTTCTTCAAATAATACCCACACATAAAGCCACATAGAACGTTACAGCTACCGTGTTGTCGCAAAGCTGCGGGGTAGGAACGTGAGATGGAGACCGTCGTCGGCAGGTGGTCGAGATAACCTCGTTAAAGCTCCTCGACCAAGCTGCATAAAAACGATGGCTGGGTTTGAGAACACAACAAAACCACCACAAAACTATGTTTAAACAACTAAACAGAGAGAATATAAACGGCAACAAAGGATACAAATTGTCGTGAAAGTGTAACAGTAGGAAAGAACGCGAATGGTCGATGATTTAACGAACGCCTAGGAAGGAAACCCTGGGACGTCATCGGGAATACCACGCTAGAATAGTTGCCACGAGATGATCAAAGCCTGATCTCCATCGGAACCAGGGTCCGTGTTGCCGGCCGGGAGCAACAGTTCATTTGCGGAACCAGAAATCCTAGAGAGAAACTAAACCCCTACCGCATGCTACGTAAGTAAACGACTCATCATTAATTAAAATACAATCATTAATTAATTTAAAATTCCTAATGCCAACACTACCCTTGCTTCCATTTCAAAATTAATAGTATTGTAAAAACTCCAAGCACAAAGCATGGCCCGAGATCAAAACAACAATAGTGCATTGGTTCTTCAATTGAAAACCTTAGTGAAACAGCTTGCTACTGTCAGCAGCAACTAAATTGTAATTTCCATCCATCGCCAGAGTCCATTTCTATTAGCACCAACTGAAATTGACATCGTTTGCCTCCATGCATCTACTTTGCTACACATAAATAATCGATGGAGAGCAGTAGTGGGATTAGGGATTTGTTTACACCAAAATAATTTTCATTAATTATTGCTCGTGTGAACAGGTTGACCAATTTAAGTAGTTGGTCCATGTGTACATGAATGGTCCAAGTATCAAGTCAGGCCATAGGAATAATGGATGGTAGTGTCCAAATACATGGATACCATCCAAAATCCATAATGGATGGTAGTGTCCAAATACATGGACACCATCCAAAATCCATAATGAATGGTAGTGTCCAAATACATGGATACCATCCAAAATCCATATTGGATGGTAGTGTCCAAATACATGGACACCATCCAAAATCCATAATGGATGGTAGTGTCCAAATACATGGATACCATCCAAAATCCATAATGGATGGTAGTGTCCAGTGTAATGGATACCGTCCAAACCCTAATGGATGATGCTGGGGTATGGTGACCATTTAATATGAGTACCACCCATGGAGTGGACTGTTGTCTTAGTCAACATGGATACCATCCAACTTGTTTTGTGTACGGTGACCGTCCAATGGTCAAGTGACATGATGACGTGTTGAGGTGGTTACCAAAGGCAACACTTGACTTGCAAAGAACGCTCGTGGAAGTTACTGGATGCTACGTGGAGTTGATTTTTGGGAAGAGAGAGAGAGAAGGCGGTTAGAGGGCGAGGCACAACAAAACTGGCAGCAAGACTCTGGAGGAGGGACAGACAAATCATACCACAACAAGTCTCGTCAAAATTTATCTTTTCTCTCTAGAACAGTAACCGTAGCAGTAGCACCAGGGACCCTCCAACGAGGCTTCTCTATTAGTTGTAGTCAGTAGTTGCGGAGCTCTCAAGGAATCTCCATAGGAGTAGAGGTAAAAGTAGCCAGTTCCTTTGATGTATGCATCGAACACCGTCGTTCGAACAGTGTTTGAAGAGGTGTGAACCGAGTAACATCGTTTTCCGTTTTCTTGAAGTCAGGGTGCATTGATCACGCGAAATTCCACCTGAAACAAATTGGCACACCTGGTGGGACAACGTGTGTTCGATATGGCTCCGCGACGAAGGATTCAGGATGGTGATCCTCCACAAGGTGCTGTGGAGGAGGGGCAGTTGGTTAACGTTGAAGTTGACCAAGCAGGAGGAAACAATGCTGGAGCAGAGGTGCCAAACATGGCACCAAATGTAGATCTAGGCGAGGCAGTCATGACTCTTCGTCAGATGATGGAGGAGAACCGCAAAGCAATGGAGGAGAACCGCCAAATGATGCCGGAGAGCCGCCGGTTGATAGAGGAAGCCAGAGCTATGGCTCATCAGGTAAACTCTCAAGTTGATTGTCTCAATTCCCGCGTAGATAGACGATTGGCTCAATTGTGTGAGTTGGTAAACAAAAATACGAATGATCTGGGTGAGTTAAGGCAATTGTTGAACAAGCCAGTTTTACACACTTGGGATTTGTCTTCAGATGGTCGAGACTTTCCAAATCTTGAAAGTGAAACGTTAACCTACCATCCAACTGTGGTGGTCAAGGTGAGCAGCCACGCCCGGTGAACCCTACACCACCGGTAACAACCACCGTACCAACACCTCAAAGGGTGAATGTTGGCGAGAGTCACGCCACTTCATCTAAGATCCATGTTGAGCAACCATCACCTAGGCAAGGTGTTGCTCGACAAAACATTTCAGAAGCCAGACCACACATGGCTCCTGTTAATGTTGGGATGGGTTTGGGTCCAAACAATGTTGACCCGATACTACCACGTGAGTACCCGCAGCAAATCTCGCCCCCTATGAATATGCAAGGCGTGGATCCTGGGGGATTCATACCACTTGGGGGGCAAGAAGGGGGGCATGAGATCCCACCACATGGAAGATTGAAGGATAAACAATATCGTCAGTGGCAAAGAAGTTTGCCACATCCATCATGTTCTAGAAAAAATCAGATGAGGGTTGCCACAAATTCTCCTCAATATGGAGGTGGTGGCCACATGAAAAAATTCAATGCTGCGAAACGTGGCATAACTCAGTATAATCCTCCATGTGAAGGGTCTTCAAAGACTCCACTGAGTGGACAGGGGGGCAAGCTCGATCAAACCCGACATGGAGTTGCCACACCAATGCTGGCTGCGAACAAGTCTGCCATGAATGGTGGACATGTGGGCAAGACCAATTCGCACACACGTGTTGGTGGAGCTCGCAAACCTCGGTGCTCACCCTCTCAACGTCAGGAGAGTGTGCAGTCGACAAAAAATAACCATTGTGGGCAAGTGATGCCACATGTTCGATTTGGCCAGACAAAGGTGCCAAAAAACATGAATATCCTGTCTAGAGCCAAGAACACTTATGGTTTTCGTGAGGCTGAGATGAGGCCAAATCAGGCTTGTAGAGTTTTGAACAAAGTTGTTCGAGCTGGACGAAATGGAGAGTTGCAAGCCAACAAAGACTCCAAAACATCAAAACCAACATGTGTGAAGCCATCTATGACAAGTCATGGCATTCACGGTTGGTATGCTTGGTTTGATCTGTGGAGTTGGCAATGGGTATGGACCTTCGGCATGATGGCCTATGCCAAAGTCTAGCTTATTATTAAATAAATAAAGTGTGGCTAAATTAGGCCATGTTATATGTTAAAATTTTTTTTTAAAAATTATTAAAATATTTTGGCGATGTTATTAAAAAGAAGCCACAACGTTGTTGAAAATGGTTCAAGATGACAAGCACATTGCCTCATGTGATGTGTTGGAGAATATCAATCTTGGCATGGAAGACGATCCTCGTCCAACTTTTATAAGTGCCAACTTACGAGAGTCTTATATTAATGGCAAGTACTTTATGCCATATGTACCGTCCCTTTGGGACATTAAGGAGTGTTAGTAATTTAGATGTCGGCCAAGTGCAGATGGAGACCTAGTTGAAGTTGACATGGTTTCTAAGATGTGCAACATGGCCGAGGAGTGAGATGGCCAGGACAAATCTTTTCTAGATTGGTCATTAAAAGGGATTTGTTTTTCTCGGAAGCAAAATGGTTGTCGTCCAACTAGATAGTTTGGATGGTTGAGTCAAAACATGGTTACCTTGCCACCTTCTGGATAGACTGTATCATCCATGAAACTAGAAGCCAAGGATGGTTGGCCTTAAGTAATTTGTAACTATGGTTTGGTTAAGTGGTTGCATGGATAGTGTTGTCCAAGCAAAAGGACATCGTCCAAGTTGTATATGGATTGTGATTGAGTTTGGCCGAGTAACCATCCATGATTGAGAGGACGAGTACCTGAGCTTGGTGACTTGAGGCCGAGCAGTAGCAAGAGTCTTGCCATGGGGAAGCATCGCACAGCTTTGGAGGTATGGTGATATTTTTTGAGTTGTGAATTATGGTGAATGAGAGCATCAATTTATAGAGAAAAGTTTAATTATGCCCTAATAGGAATGAGTTACCTCTTGCTAGTAGGATATGGATTATGAGGTGTGTCCTACATGAAAAAGAATTTGCGTTCATTATCACAAAAGAAAAAGGTAGGCTACATTAATTGGCTAAAAATTGTATTATTAGCCGAGTTGGAGAGGGACAACCTCTTGGTGTGTTTTGTTTACATGGCCAGGAAGGAATTACATTCCTTATGTGACTTGGACATGGCTACATAAAGCCAACATCTGCTTCAAGTGGTTGCGCATATAGTATAGTTGGTGTCAACAACTTAGTTCATAAGAATTAGTTCTTATAAACTAAGTTGTGGGGGGCATTTGTTTACACCAAAATAATTTTCATCAATTATTGCTCGTGTGAACTGCTTGACCAATTTAAGTAGTTGGTCCATATGTACATGAATGGTCCAAGTATCAAGTCAGGCCATAGGAATAATGGATGGTAGTGTCCAAATACATGGATACCATCCAAAATCCATAATGGATGGTAGTGTCCAAATACATGGACACCATCCAAAATCCATAATGGATGGTAGTGTCCAAATACATGGATACCATCCAAAATCCATATTGGATGGTAGTGTCCAAATACATGGACACCATCCAAAATCCATAATGGATGGTAGTGTCCAAATACATGGATACCATCCAAAATCCATAATGGATGGTAGTGTCCAGTGTAATGGATACCGTCCAAACCCTAATGGATGATGCTGGGGTATGGTGACCATTTAATATGAGTACCACCCATGGAGTGGACTGTTGTCTTAGTCAACATGGATACCATCCAACTTGTTTTGTGTACGGTGACCGTCCAATGGTCAAGTGACATGATGACGTGTCGAGGTGGTTACCAAAGGCAACACTTGACTTGCAAAGAACGCTCGTGGAAGTTACTGGATGCTACGTGGAGTTGATTTTTGGGAAGAGAGAGAGAGAAGGCGGTTAGAGGGTGAGGCACAACAAAACTGGCAGCAAGACTCTGGAGGAGGGACAGACAAATCATACCACAACAAGTCTCGTCAAAATTTATCTTTTCTCTCTAGAACAGTAACCGTAGCAGTAGCACCAGGGACCCTCCAACGAGGCTTCTCTGTTAGTTGTAGTCAGTAGTTGCGGAGCTCTCAAGGAATCTCCATAGGAGTAGAGGTAAAAGTAGCCAGTTCCTTTGATGTATGCATCGAACACCCTCGTTTGAACAGTGTTTGAAGAGGTCATCGTTTTCCGTTTTCTTGAAGTCAGAGTGCATTGATCACGCGAAATTCCACCTGAAACAGGATTCTAGAAAAGAAAGATGGAGAATCAATAATCCTCTCTTCGTAGAACCCCAATAAAATTCTTTCTTCGCCGGTCAAAAATTAACCACCACAAGCCCAAACAACAATCACGACAGTCACAGAGGATAGTTTGTGAGGAAATAGTAATCATATTTTTTTTACCTTGCCTTAGCAGGCAAGATCTAGGTTCAGAGATGGTCCCACTTCAACCCCATTGCCACAAACTGATTTCCAAGCTTACATTTCTAGTGCCCCTTTTCTCCCAAACCCAGGAAATGCTCCGCGATGAAATCTGTTGGGATTTTTAGTGGTGTGAATGGAAATAAAAGGGGAAAGTTTCAAGAGAGTCTCTTGAACTACCATGTTGGTAAGATGTGGGAAGGCACGAACTCGAATTCGATCGATTTGATGTAATATGTGGTTAATCGGTTAAATTGGTTTGTGTGCCAAACGAACCAAACCAAACCGAGTTGAACCAAATCGAACCGAATCGATGTGGCTGTTGGAATAACCAAACCGGTCCAACTACCATGGGCCGAACCGATGCAATGGTTCATTATTTCAAACGTGAACCAATGTGTTGGTTGGGGTGTAACCACCCATTTGAAGAGTCGCCTCCCTTCGTACGCACCCCTTCATTTTGTATAAATAGCACCTAACCCCCTAAGGTTTTTTACATCGGTTTTTCCCGGTACCAAAATTCTGTCAAAATCCAAAACTAGTATTCTTCATTCTTTTTCAAAGAGAAAAACGAGTCAAGTGTGGTTCTCGCCGGTTCGCTGCGTTCGATGAGTTCCGGGGTTTGAGGTACCGCTACGCCGGAAAAGGTACGTCCTTTCTATCCTGGGAGGAATCATTCCATAACCTTGGGTACTTGAGGGGAATAAGATTCTTTAAGATTGTTGGGGAAATTGTTCACGTATACTATTTTCTTGCAGCACAAGCAAACACATAAGATTAAGAATTGTAATTGGCCATTCAGAGTTGCGTATGAGTTCAATGCATGCATAGTATGTCCTCCATGCCTCATAATTGTGTTGGCTTGCTCATGTGGAAAGAAAGGTTGCAGTACGTTTCATCGTGGACTTTATGTGCCAGACATGGAACTTACAACCGAATGGTTAACCAATTTGATTTGATTAACCAATTTGATTTGATTAGTGTTGTTGAATACTTGTGTAGTATTTTAGAATGAGAACGAATCATAATTCATATTATGAGAAGAGTTCAAGAAAAAAAAATCAATTAGTTTGAATTTGAAAGAATTCACGTTAAATTTTTAGAAACAAATTTTTCATAAAATTTGTGAGTTTCAATTTTGATCATTTGAAAGATGCAACACTTTGGTTAATGTGACCAAGTTGTTTGGAGTAAGTTGAAACAAAATGGGGGAAGAAGAGGAAGTTGAGCAATCGGAGAACGAGGAGGAGTACTTCGACATAGAGACTGATGAATGTCTCTCTGATCCTGACTTCGACCCCAAGAATCCTTAGGATTCTTGTATATGTATTGTAATCTCCTTTGAGGAGTAGACATATGTATGTGTGTATATATACATATGGTATTAGTATGTGTACCTATGTAATTCATGTATTTACATGATGAATGAAGGACAAATGTTCTTATCTCCCAAGTGGAAAATTAGATGGATAAAACCTTATGAGTTTGTTTGGTTCCAAAATTAACCACAAAGTTTTAATGCTTTCATTGCATTGGTCCAATTCATTTATGTGGCACGGATGAATGATTATTGTACCAATTTAATTTGGACATTTTTCATTCAAAGTGATGCATGAGAGGATAGAAGAACTTATGATAGCCCTTCGTGGACTATAAGTAAAGGTGGTTTTGATAGTAGTAAACTATCTAGTGGGAGAATATGAAAAATCATAGATGTGTAAAACCTATGGCGCGTGGCAAGTGGGGACTTGTGAGTCAAGTCTATCTAAGTCGGAATGGTTGCAAACGTTATGTTCATAGTATGTTGGACATAGTTTGAAAGAGTATACCTCCAACGAGTTGGAGATGAAATTTGGTTAATGCACGTTTAAAGGACTGCATTACGAGTAAGCCATAAGTGATAAGGAATTCTAATTCCTAAGATGCTTGTGAAGACATAATAATTTGTTTATTATGTATGTGATTTAGGACTTGATGTTTCCTATGCCACGAGGGCAAAGAAAATGAAGCTATGATTAATCCTTATATGGATTTAATAAGCTTGCCAAATGATGGTCGTCATCAAGATAAGCATTAGGTCAGAATTGTTTATGGTATAAATACACTATACCATTGGAAAACAATTTGACTATGATTATCAACGTGGAACTAGTTGCCATAATTGTTTATGGTATATATAGATGTATATCATTGGAAAACAATTTGGCATGAGAGCTCAATTGAGATGATCTTATTGAACTTAAAGTCTGGATTACTTATGGTATATTTATGAAGTTTATACCATTGGAAAGTAATTAGACAATTGAATTATAAATTCATTTGAATTACTTGTGGTATATCATGTTACATAAATGAAATGTCATTGGTAACTAATTAGATGGGATTTCCATTACTGGAATGCATCTGAATTACTTATGACGTCTCAAGTTGCCTTGATCAATACCATTGGTAAGTAATTAAATGATATTTCTAATAAAATCTGAATTGTTTGTGGTATGCTAATCGAGTGAGATCATACCATTGGTAAACAATTAGATACATATAGTGGTTGGCAAGTTCAATAAGTAAAACCATGGAAAATAAATGGGATTATTCCATGATGTTTGGTAAAGGGTGGAATTGTGGGGGAGAAGAGCTAGCCATTGTTTCGGCTACTATCTCAAGACCCTACAATGGGACGCAAACCTATCCATAAGACAAAATTGGAAAGGTAAGCGAAGTCATACTTGAAAGTATGAAGGTGTCCAATGAGTAAGTGAGAGTCCTTAAACCTTGTGAAGTTAACCCAGTCCAAGGGTATAACTTATGAGTAAACTCTAACATATATTGACGTTATGTCAGAGAGCTATAATAATTTTTGATGTTGATCCACTCTTCCCAAAGAGATGATTTTGACCATATACATGAATGTATATGGACAACATTCCCCAAACCGGAAACTTTGGTTTCAACAACTGTGGCGAAAAAGTTGAAATGTGGGGGATAAATTGGGGAGAAGTGATGTGGAATGTCGCTTGGGTGATTCCAAAGTGAAGTGTTGTGAATACTTAGGAGTTTTACGTAAACTCTAAGCTAAGTCATAAATTTAACTACATTTGAAGAGATACTTGTGAAGTTTAAGTACTCTAAGGTAAATGAAGTAGAGAGACTTCAACACCGTTGGCATGTGTTATGATTATTGCAAGGCAATAAATCAAGGCAAACACACATGATGTGTAGTGAATCAAAAGAGACGAGTCTTTGGTGTATTTTACCCAAAGGAACTCACTGGGTGAACCAAAAGCCATAGTCCATTAATGGATAGGCATTTATGGTTAACGAGGAGCAGTATCTTGGAAAACGTCCAAGTTAAACTCTAAGACCGGTGAAGTTGAATAGTTTGGCCCGCAAAGACTAGCGTTAATAAAACGCACTTGTGCACAAAATTGTTATTGCAAGGGCTAGAAGTGTTATGTGAAAAATCTCGTCATTGATAATGGAAACATAACACTAAGGTCAATTTCTAGCGAAGTTATCTAAGTTGATCATGTAAATCAAGTGATAACAAATGTGGGGCCCACCTAGAAATTAATTAAATTATCGAAGGGAATGGACTCGTGGCCTAGGACAAATCATCATGGCGGTAACTCTACCTAATCAGGATTGGCAGACCCAACCTCTAGGTTCAAGGAGCAAACAAAGTTGTGAATGATGGTCCGACATTGTCAAAATTATTCAAATTCCATTCTCATGATGAGACAATGTCCAACTATAAGGGTAAACCTAAAGATGGAAGGTTTTTAATGGTTTCTAAGTTTGACACGGGATGTGATCAAATAGTGTATTTTTAGAATACATGTTTAGAAATCACCTATGTGAGTGTGAAGTGGAGCCGCTTCAAGGAGAATAAAAGAAGTCCAGTTCTCTAAGCACTCATGAGACCAGGCGGTGTTCATGGCTAAAACGAACACAACAATGAGAACCAGTGAACGGATAAGAGTTAGTTGTGTGACATATGTTGTCTTAGTATACAAGAAAACCGACGGTTCAAAGATATCATATCTACCGATTGGTGAGTATACTCTATATATGTTCACTATGGAAGGTTCAAAGGGAAACCCACCTATCCAGATGCAACTAATTCTTAGTTGAGAATCACACAGTTTTTACATAGTTTTCAAAACTTGCATTCTCCATTCATGTGGGGGATTGTTGGGATTTTTAGTGGTGTGAATGGAAATACAAGGGGAAAGTTTCAAGAGAGTCTCTTGAAGTACCATGTTGGTAAGATGTGGGAAGGCACGACCTCGAATTCGATCGATTTGATGTAATATGTGGTTAATCACTTAAATTGGTTTGTGTACCAAACGAACCAAACCAAGTTGAACCAAATCGAACCGAACCGATGTGGCGGTTGGAATAACCAAACCGGTCCAACTACCATGGGCCGAACCGATGCAATGGTTCATTATTTCAAACGTGAACCAATGTGTTGGTTGGGGTGTAACCACCCATTTGAAGAGTCGCCTCCCTTCGTACGCACCCCTTCATTTTCTATAAATAACACCTAACCCCCTCTGGTTTTTTACATCGGTTTTTCCCGGTACCAAAACTCTATCAAAATCCAAAACTAGTATTCTTCATTCTTTTTCAAAGAGAAAAACAAGTCAAGTGTGGTTCTCGCCGGTTCGCTGCGTTCGATGAGTTCCGGGGTTTGAGGTACCGCTACACCGGAAAAGGTACGTCCTTTCTATCCTGGGAGGAATCATTCCATAACCTTGGGTACTTGAGGGGAATAAGATTCTTTAAGGAGAGATAGTGAATTCTATCGGCTAGGACGCTTGCATGTGTCTTTGCATGTTTTCTTAATCTTATGTGTTTGCTTGTGTTGCAAGAAAATAGTATACGTGAACAATTTCCCCAACAAAATCTTCTATCACGGTGTCGCACTACAATCCTGCACCTGACGCTGCCATACAGGACACAAGCATAAAGTTTTAAAATTCATCATTAGCATAAAGCAAAAGTTACATAAGATTAAGTAGCCAATATCCTAGGAAAAAGGATTCAAGACTTGAGATTTAACCGGGATAGGATAGGTTTTTTAGGATATAGCTGGGACAAATTCAAGTTCGGATTTCGCCGAGTCCGCCCACAAAGTATCGAGAGGTGGTAAGAGGAGTTGTGGTTATGGAGCTGGTCATCAAAGGTGGTTGTACTAGGGAACCACAAATATTATAAAAAAACTAAATGGAAAATGAAGCAAGTAAAAATACCAACATGAAAAGTGATGAAACCTTCTTCTGTCATCACTCTTCACCTATTCTGGTTATCCAAGTCTGCCCCTGCTCATCATTGCACAAAGAATGTTTTTGGAACTCACCGGATGGGATTTCCTCGTAAGGAGTTCTGCAAGCATGTTGTAAGCCTAATTATCCGAATACTTGAACCTACCACTCACAGAAACCAGGTACTCGTAAGCCTCATCGTTATACTCAACGTTGAACAACAGCTTGATAACAGTAGAATCCATCGATTGCCTCGGTCCAATGCCAGCTTCAACCATATGATCAAAGAACTCTATCCCAGTACTGAATCTCCCCTTCGCCACATCCTTTGCTCATCATTTCCTGTAGAGCTTCGTGAGCAACCTGAGTGAGACATAGAAGCAACGAGAAACAAAGTTTGGTTCTCGACTTAGAAGATTACTTATACATAAAAACCAAACACTAAACACAGATTTCACGCATCCTGATTATATAATTCCATGACCTAAACTATAGATGTTGTTAACAATCTGATTCACCATTTGTTAATGTGAATTATGTAGGTTATCAACATCATGGCTCGAATCAAAAACACATCCCGTAAGACTGTGTTGTACAAAGAAACATATGAGAAAAAGCTGATAGGGTCAGATGAAAATAATGGAGATAGACTCAGCTACAGATGTAGTATGTATCAGGTTATAAAGATAGTGGAAAATATTACTCCTGCTCGAGCTGCTCTAATTCAGGGGTGTGGGTTTGGTTTTGTGTTGAATTTGGCGACGCACAACATTGATCGATGTAGTACATATCAGTTTGTTTATCTGGCTTGAAATTCATATTTGGCGGACAACCTGCTGTAGTCTCTGCTGGCCTAAGTTCAGGTCCTTAAACCCACTTTTTTAAGGAAAATCTTAAAGCGTTGTGATTGGCTGCTGTAAATTTTGGTAGTTAGGGAAGAGTTATTAGTTAATTGGTTGTTAAGGGTATTTAGGGAATTATAGGTAATTTAAAAACACAAATAGCTAACCCTAAACCCATGTCCCGTGTTTTTTCTTCCTCCAAGTTGAACCGTCTCTATCAACGTTTTCGTCAATCTGTGTTCTCCGGCAGTCCCTTCGGTTGCGTTCTCCGACGTCCCTTCTGCTCCCGGCAACAGTCTCCGCCGTCGGCTTGGTTTTCCGATTCTCCCTAAACCTGAACTATCTTCAGTTTCCACCAAAGCTGAACCCCAGCTTCCGTTTCCGCCGTCGGACTAGTCGATCACTCCCATACTCCGGCGTAAGTTTGAGAAGGTAGTTTTACTCCCCGTCCGGCGACACTAGCGGTGAAGTCCTCCATGTCCAGCATCACTAGCGTTGAAGGCCTTCCCGTCCGGGCATCACTAGCGTTGTTCTTGTTCCCGTCCATTCCGTCGTCGATCCCTGATCTCTCGGCGGCAGTGTCAAGGTGATTTTTGTGTCCATATTTTATTTCATATGTAAGGGTTTTCCAGGCCCCGCATGGGTGTAGGTTTTGGCATTGCATGGGTGTAGGGTTTTGCGTTGATGTATATGCTATTGGTAAGTTTTGTTCAATGGGTGCTTAGGGTTTTTTACTTATACAGTTTAAAATCAATTTAAGGTTGAATGATTTGTAATCTTTTGAATGGTAATGGTCAATCTGTTTACCTGATATGTTAAATTATCGTTTCAACAGTTTTAGGACGGCGTTATTAACGTTTCTTCCGCGAGTATTAATATTTAACTGCTATATTATTAATAATTAACATGCTCGTTATTAACGGGCTTTTTCAGTTAGTAATATTTAACACGACACTATCAGTAATGTGCTTGTCTCCATTGTCAATCTTTTTGTTGGTATTCGAAATTGGTTTACATATAAAGTTCATTCGAAAATTATGTCGCAGTGGTTTTTAAAATTTCCAAGGGTGATGGTTAAAATTTCTATATTTGTACATTTCCCATCCCGCATTATCAAATAACATGTATGTTATTCAGGGATTTTTTCTTACACCCCAGTATACAATCATACAAAAAAGTGATACATTTTCAACAATTTTAGGTTTTGTTTGTGACTTTGTGAAATGGCATTATTAATGTTTCGTTTTATGTTATTAACATTTTACGTTTGTATTTTTCGTTGTTCAAACACAGGTTATTAATATATTTATATGCAATTTGTAATTTTTGGCAGTGATCCACAATATGCCGCGTACAAATAATACAGCGTGTAAGCCTGCGTTGCATAATAAGAGGATGGAGAAGAAGGCAGCTGCACCCAGAGTTGATGACAAATAATGACGTTATTATTAATTATTAACCTTTTCATCTCTGTTATTAACATTTTCACTTGTACACTTATCCACACGCAAATGTATTTCTTTGTCAATTATTAACAAACAGTGACGTTATGAATAATTATACCATTTCAAATTATTAAGACACCATGAGGTTGAAGCTTCGCATCGGTGATTATGTCAACAAACTACGTTATCTATATTTTAACCTACATTATTAACATATTTACTTACGTTATCAACATTTTCAGCTACGTCGTTATCATTTTAACCTGCGTTATTAGCATTTCACCTATATACTTATCCACATGCAAAATTATTTCTTTGTCAATTATGAACAAACAATAACGTTATTATTAATTATACCTTCTCGAATTATTAATAAACCACGAGGTTAAAGCTTTGTACAAGTGATATTGTCAACAAACTACGTTATCCATATTTTCACCTACGTTATTAACATATTTACTTACGTTATTAATATTTTCAATGGTTATTAACATATTTTCACCTACGTTATTAACATATTTACTTACGTTATTATCATTATAAACAAAGTTAGTAACATCATCACCCAATTCAATTATTAACAAACCAAGGTATTTCATGGATGATTAATCGATTATTAACAAACCATAAAGTTATTATTAATTATATTCCATTTAATTATTAACACACCACGAATCTACAAATTGCAGCATAATGGATTATCTATGTTTCCACCTACGTTATTATCATTTTCCCTTACGTTATTAACATTTTCAATGGAACACTTTAATACCAACATAAGCTAATATATAATAACCAAATGAAATAAACACAAAAAGCTTTCGACGATTCCATATGCCGGGTACATAGTCCACTTTGTCGTCGAGACGCCGGCGGCCAGGTTGCTTACTGGAACCGACGAGATGGCATCGTGAGGACGGGAGGCCGATGAGAGGAATCAACAGCGCGACGGCGAGAGGAATCGACGGCGTTATGGAGACTTGACGACGGGAGGAATCGATGGAATCGACGGCGTGATGGCAAGGGGAAATGACATCGACGGCGAGATGGCGACGTGACGACGGGACGCCGGCAGCGGGATTGCATACGGGAAGCAACGGGAAGCCGACGCCGGGATCGCAGACGTGGCTTCGATGGAAACTTTTATTTTTGTTATAAGATATCATGTATTGATCGAAAAAAATAGACAGTTACACCCTGGAAACCAGCCAGGTCTGGAAATCAAAGAAGCGACTCATAGTCGGGTACAAAGAGAGGGCATTCCTAGCTACCAAATGAGCTACCCTATTGTTCTCCCGACCTACAAAACGCACACTAAAGCCAGGCTGAGTACGAAAATACATACCAATCTCTTCCAGAACAGCACCCAACCGGCTATCTCTTGTGTCGGCTTGATTAATTTTGTCAATAATCACCTTCGCATCGCCCTCAAATCGGACCACCGACAAGCCTTGCTCCACACACCAAATAATAGCTTCCCTGAGCACAAGCAACTCCACCACTACAGGATCATCCATTTGAGAAAACTGGACCCCTCTAGCCAGAAGGAGTGTCCGCGCTGGGCAAAAAGAACCATCCCACCAGCCGAATGCGACCCACCCTTAGTAGCCCCGTCCCACATGCAAACCAAATGGGAATCGCCCACTTGTGCTGTAGATTGCATCATCGGGATTTGCACCCTAGGAGCCTGGTCCGCTGATAGACCCACCCATTCCTCATATTGTTGGTTAAATTGTCGCATGAGCATCGGGATCCCAAATTATTTGCCTTCAAAGACTGCCCAATTCCGAGATCGCCAGATCCTCCAAAGGATGGCAACAACAGCCATAACCACTGACTGTTGATGAAGCAACGCCAACAGACGTTTGAGAAACAAAGGAAAAGTATGCCGAGACAAACCTTCCCCCAAGTATTCCAGCCCAGAATAATCCCAGAGAGCCCGTGCAACCGGACAATAAAGGAACAGGTGTTCCATTGTCTCCAGGCCATCCCAACAAACTGGACACCGAGTTAGCACCTGGACCTTTTTCTCAATAAGCGCCTCCGTAGTCGGAAGAGCCCGATTAAGAATTTGCCAAACAAAAACCTTCAACTTCGATGGAAACTGTTATAGGGTTGGGAGTAGGGCTGCAAATGAGCCAAGCTGCTCGCGAGCAACTCGGCGTTCGAATCGGAAAAAACTCGTTCGACACTCGACTCGTTGTTTAACAAGCCAGCTCGCGAGCCGACTCGTTAGTAAACGAGCCAAGCTTGAGCTAGGCCATGCTCGGCTTGATAAGCTCGTGAGCTAGCTTGACTCGGTGGCTTGTTGAGCTAAGCTCGTGAGCTGGCTTGTTTAAAGCTTGTGGAAGGATTAATTACTCTTCTGAACATGAAAATTATCTTTTTAATAAGGATGTGTATGGAAGTTACATGTTATTTTTAGTTTCTAGTGTTCTTTTTATTATTTTTAATTTCTAATGTTCTTATTTGTACACATTTTTCAGCAAGAATGGTTTCAAATCGAGCTTATCTTGAGCCGAGCTTGTACTCAGCTTGACAAGCTGTGTTAATGACCATTTATCGAGCTCTGTCGAGCCGAGCTCGAGCTGGATTATTTTTAATCGAGTCGAGCTCGAGCTCGAGCTGGATAATCAAAATTCGAGTTCGAGCCGAGCTCGAGCTAAAAAATTTATAAACGAGCCGAGCTCAAGCTAAGCAAAAACTCGACTCGACTCGGCTCGTTTGCAGCCCTAGTTGGGAGGAGTACAAAATTACGGAAACGAATATTTGAAAGTGAGGGTTTCTACCCTTTTTAATTTTAATCATTAATATCATTAAATTTTTATTATATTCCAGTCTTACCCTTGTAGGTAGTTAGCTAATGATTACTAATGTTCCTCTCTCTCTCTCTCCTTCTCCTATTGGCTGGAATTGGTTTAAGATCCTCCTTAAGAAAGGGGGTTTAAGGACCTGATCTGATCCGGTCTCTGCTCTATTCCGTCTGCGAGTTGTATTATCAATCTTGCCTTTGTTTTTGGAATCCAGTTCACTCTTTTTACGAAATCCACTCTTGCTGCACACACAATAGATATAGTGAGCTTTCTCACTAAATTTACTTTTGGTGTTGACTTTAGGAGCTCCTTGTTTTCTCATGCCAAAACCATTATCATGGGCATATTCTCTGTAGAATCGCTCAATAACTTCCTGCACTGCACGATTAGATAATTGATTAGCCATATGCTATTACTGATGATAACCATTATTGTTAATAACAACACTAACTTGTATCCCTATTGAGGCAGAGGTCCACATCTGTTGGAAATCTATCCAAATTGGTGATATCATCCGCATCAACTGTTCAAATTTCAATTATTAATACACATCCTTCAATTATCAACGACCTTCCAATAACAAAATAACACCAAGTTACTCGTACTAACAAACAACAAAGTTACCTTCAAAAGACATATCTATGGACACCTCCTCCTCTTGTATTGCATGCTCGCCTTGCCAATTGGATGGTGTCACAAACACTTCATCAGTGAGTGACGCATTCAAATCTGTCCATGATTCACAATGGGGAATTTTACTTCTGAAGTTTCAAGTTATCAATAATTCATCAAGGTTATTAACAATAATACCGACAAATAGTACTAGATACTGAAGGCATATCCTACCAAAATTAACCATTAATGAGATATGCATTTTCCCCGAAAACAAAAATACAAGTAGCTCATTAATAACATGTCGTTATCATCAAGATTACTAATTGAACCACTAGTTGCTAATACTTGATGCCAATTGCGTTAATAACCCTTTACTTTCATTTTGTATTTCTATTATTAATAAGAACGTGCCTAATTTTTAATATAAATATGTCTATTTTCAACATACTTAAAATGAATTTATATTTTGTATTTATATTATTAACACAAACTGTACCATTATCAATGAAAACGTGTTCTCTTTCCAACATTTTCATAAAAGCGTAACCAAAAAACACCACATAGCAGAGACCATACCTATCGAAAACCGATCGACATGTTTGGTTTTTTTTTTGTTGGTAATAACCAGTGCCGACGCTAGCCGCTTTAAACAGATCACGAGCAGCACAAAGAAAATGATGGCGATGTTGTGCCTGTACGTCCACTATTGTGGCGATGTCTCCCTCGCGGCTTTCGTCCTGCAACCTTCGTCCCTGAAACTGCTCTGTCACCGATTTTTCTATGTCGCCGGCTTGTTGTATGGTGATAATGGGTTTTTTCGCCATTGACGGAGCGAGTGGTGTGTCTATACTTTATAGTCCATTTAGCATTTTCAGAAATAATTACAATAATTATTAGCATTAAATAATTACGGAAACTTCCTCATTTACCATTTTATTTAGTTATGGGTTAGTTACATGCTCACATCTCTCTCCTCTTCAAGGTTTAAGAAAGTTCATAAATTTGAGGTTTAAAGACAGGACCCAACCCGATGAGCGACTCATCCATCAGCGTTCACGCATAAACGATTTCTAACTGTTTTTAGTTGCTTCTAACAAAAGTCGAACCCGGCAGGGAGGGGTAACGATTTCGGTTAACCATTAGCATTAACCGTCTAATTTAGTTTAGGGGGAACAAAAGGAAGATTGAACTCGAAAAATATAAACAAGTTCCTATACATTATATTGCGGTGACTTCTTGGTAACATCATCTGTAAGAGTAAAGGAAAACAAGAGAACCCCCTAGAAAAAAGCTAGACTCGCTTGGTAATGTCATCCCTCTGGATGGTGAAATCCCAGAGCTCCCCATACTTGTCGTTGAACTCCCAGATGCTCATGGTGTTGTAGTCATTGATCAACTTGTCCCGCGCCCCTCTCTCCATGTTGTAGATCTGTGGCTCGAAGTTGTGTGGCTTGTCCGGCTTATCCATCTCTATCACCACGAATATCGTCGCGAAGATCGCCGCCCCGCCGAACAGGAATTCACCCTGCAATATGTGATATTGTGCACTCCAAAATTGTCAACAGAGACAGAGCAAATCCATAGCAACATTTCGAAGTGTTCGTTTGGATTATGAGTCTTACAGGAACATTGAGGTACATCCCAGCGGCTATTGCTGGGAGAAATAGCCACGATAAGAAGCCCTGAAAGCCAGAGGGTGGTTCCACGGCCTTGATATCGTCAGCAATGGCACCCCAAAACGTTCCTTAACCAGAAAAACAGAGCCCGTATTTTCGTTAAACAGAGGAGCTCAATTCGTACTCTTGTTCAGTCATTCAGAGGGAAACTCAATGCTACTGATAAATGCAAATACCTTGGTTGTCCTCCTCTCCCTCGAAGTAAGTGTGGTGCCCATCATAAATTCCGTACTCAAAATCTTCCTGGAGTAGTAAATAGAAAAACAGAGTAAGAAAAAAAAAACAGAGTAAGAAAGATACCCAATTGAACCCAAATCTGTGAAAGAAGAAATTGGAACAAAAAGGAGAAAGCTTGGCTCACTGGGTCAATTCCAGGAGTTCCCCACTGGTCGATTGGTTCCTCTCTGAGATCGGGCTCGACTTCTGACAACCCGGCGTTGAGTCGTCGACTCGTCAAGCTTCTACCGGTTGGATTAATACTTTGGTTCCGGCGGTACGGTTTCAAGAGGCGGATGGTTCTGCGAACGGAGATGGAGGTTGTGGTGTCTGTAGAGCTGATTCTCGGCAATGAAGCAGATGCAACAACGGACAAGCACACCACCGCCATTTTTGTCCAGTTTTATGAAGAAGAAAAAAAGTGGTTAAATGCCCGCCTTGTTTTCCGGTTGTCATCTGTTCTATCCTTAACGGTAGGATAGAAGGCTCAGGTTACCTGTCTTGTTCGAATTGAGCGTCACAGTTCAGCCATGTGATACCACGTGTCACTCGGGAGCATGGTTGTCATGCCGGTTGCATGCCACCCGGTTGAACATGGTTCAACCTGTGCCGGTCATGAAACCGGCATGACACCACCGGTATGACCGGTATGATCGACTTGCGTATTCTAAGTAAAATGACATCATTTTAATGAACTTAATGAATAAAAAATTAATTTATTATTCATTTTATGAATGTAATAGCTAAAAGTTGATGATATTTGTTAGATTGTAACTAAATTGTCCACAAATATGTTTTATATATGATTAAATACATTAGATATTAATTGTTTTCACATTTTTTTTAACTGTCATGAACCGGCACAAACTGATTATACCACCGGTCGTACCATTCCACTTGCCAAACCGGCACAACGGTATAAACCGGTTTGACAACCTTGCTCGGGAGTTAAAATGAGCTGCTGGTTTGAGAGAGACTTTATATATGGGCTTTGCTGGGCTGATTACGGGAGAACTTTGTATTGGGCCTGGCGGAGGTCGTTAAAACTGGGACGGGATGGACGCTCAGAAGGCCCAGTAATAGTTGTGAGGAAAAGGGAATGTTGAAGGCCTTTTTGCAGAAATAGCACAGTTTTAAAAAAATTTCAAAAATAGCACCAAACCCCGAAAAAATTCAAAAATAACATCAATTTATAAAAATCGTCATTTGGGGGCGCGGTTTTCGACAAAAATCGCACGGGTAGTGGGCGGTTTTGCTGACCGCGTGGGACGAGGCGGTTTGGTTGCAAACCGCACCCCCACCCGACGGTTTGTATTATATATATATTTTTTCGAATAAATGTTATAAGTGGTCGTGGCACAACTAGTTTATTGTGTGCAAGAAGTCATAGGTTTGAACCTCCATCATCCCATATTAAATTTTTTTTATTTAGTAGAGATTAAAAAAACAGCTTATTGTGGGCAAGGGTGGAAATCGGTATGGTATCAGTATCCCAATACCAAATTCCGAATATCGAATTACACCCTAAAGTCAATCTCAATCCCAATCCCTAAATAATTTTGGTATCCCAATTCCAATCCCTAAATATTTCGGTATCCCAATCGGTATTATTGAATACAAAATTAATTACCTTTTCAATTAATAATTAAATATATAAGTTAGATTTTATTGTTTAATTTAGGGGAAAAAGACTAAGCAAAGAGTCTTGAATTAGGATATTATTAAGGAGAATAGAGGAGAGGAGACATCTCAAGTTCTTATCATTGGTAATCGTTAATTTGATGAATTGGAGGTTGAGAGATAACTATTAATAGTGATGGAATGATATATGTATAATTAAATGACACTCTTGGTGGTTGAGGGTCGTGTAGTAGTGAATGAGAGAGTCTAGTTGAGAGGATAAAATAGACACTAGCATATATTTCGGTATTGATCGGTATTTCAGTATATACCAATCTCAATCCTGTAATCCCTAATACCGAATAACAATTGAAATTCAATCCCAATCCCAAGAAATAATACGTGTATTCGGTAATACCAAATATAGACAAATTCGGTACGATATTCAGTATATCCCAAATACCGGTACCAAACTTCCAGCCCTAGTTGTGGGAATGGTGGTTCGAACCTAGATATAGTAAATAGTTAACTAAATTTAACACAACATCTACACCACCAAACTACAACTCTTCTTTTGAAATAATAATATATTGACAAAGTTTTATTCCTTGAACGCTAAAAATCCTCAATAACTTTGAACAACCATAACTCTGTGCTCCAAAATCCGAACGTCATGATTTTTTTTTCATTTTGCATAACTTTTTAAGGACTACATTTTTTACTAGCAATGAATTTTCAAAACAGGAATTATTTTGGATATACAGTGTTTTGGGAATAACTTACCTTCCCTTTTCACAAATCCACGTACATTCCGAAATTATGTCTATGATAAAAGTTGTAATCTTTAAAAAGTTATGCGAAATGAAAAGAAAAATTCATGATGTTCGGATTTTGGAGCAGAAAGTTATTTTGTCCAAAGTTTGACGAAATCGGAAAAAGCTCGTTCGGGGTAGCAAACGACATTTTTTCGGGACGAAGGCGCGACCAAACCGGCTTTGGCTATTTGCGACTAGCAAGATTTTGAAAACTTATACGAAATCAAAAAAATTTTTGCTACGATCGGATACCCGAACAAAAAGATACATTCGTTTGAAGTTTCCACCTAGGATTTTTCAAAAACAAAAAATTTATGGACCAAACCGCTGGGTGGGGCAGCGGTTTTGGCCAAACCGGTCCGACCACAGGTGGTCATCAAACCCGCCCCTCGCCCCCACCTTGCGGTTTTTGTGTAAACTGCTGGGTCGGGTGCGATTTTTGGGAAAGGGTGCTATTTTTACTCAGCGATTTTCGTGTAAACCGCTGGATCAGGTGGCGCTTTTGGAAAAAGTGTGCTATTTTTGAAAATTTTCGGGGTTGAGTGCTATTTTTGGATTTTTTTCTTAAACGGCGCTATTTCTGGAAAAAATCCAATTTTGCTGGCAAAGGCAAACTGTGCTCGTGTGCTAGAGCTTCAACCCTAATCAATGGCATCGCCTATGGATTCTTTTCAATTCTAGTGATGTTGATCATATAAATACTGTTACCATCTAAAAGTTCAACCAACTTAACCATGAGTTAGCACTTAGCATGAGATTTTTTCTTTGTAGCTAACTATTTCGAGTACGATTTCTTAAATATGCATATCGTGTGATTATAGCGTCATACTTTAAATCTTGATATTATGATTTCGACCCGCGTGTTGACACGCACTTCTCTTACTCTTCTCCTCCCGTTAAGCTTCCAACAAGCAATAGATACCACGATCCATAAAATATCTTGAATTTCACATCAACTCGAGGGCGGGCTTGTATACTTTCTTTATCTCAACTTATCTTGACACCAATATATTCATTGCTTGCTCTCCACTTGATTACTTTAATAAATTATATTCATTAGCATTTGAGCTGGCAATATCCATATGGTAAGTACCATAGTCTAATGGAATCTACAACTATTGCTGAGAATAATTTGCGGCTTCTCTTGCCTACTCCAGCCGATTCTGTGTTCTTGAAGTAGATGATTACTGGGAAAATAATCATTCCACATCCACTTATATGGATCCTGGATAAGACAATGGAATATGTTCCCAAAAACGAAAAGGTATCACTTCCTCAAAACGAAAAGGTGTCACTCAGCAATCAGCATATAGTAAGGACGCCACTAAAAAAAGGACAGATTGCTCGTCCTGAATGGGATTGGCAGCCAAGAAGAGTATCGTAGCTAGGGAACGGATCAGCTCAGTAACCTTATGGTGAGTACAGAGTAATCATGAGTAATCCGTCCACATGAGCATGATATGAGCATCACTCTCTCTCCTGGAAAGCCTTTAATTTTTCCCTCCTTAATCTTTGATGGATGATTTTCTCACTCGTTTTAAGTCAAATTTTTTTTTTGCACAGCTAGATCAGATTAATTATGCTCTTCAAAATGATATCCACACTGATATATTTATCGAACAAAAAAATTGAGCAATTTTTTACCAGTCTATACCATATGGTATTGATGGGTATTGAAATAAGAGCATACCTATGGTTTGAAAAGCGTACCATAGTGGTATGAACAAACCAAGACTGTAGAATGGTTGAATACATGATAGCAGAAGTATATTAACTGTCATCAACAGCAAGAACATGGAACTGATGGTCGTGAGCAAGATGACGAGCTTCGGCGATAGCCATACCCATTCTGATGAAACAGAGTTGTAGCAGCAGCAGGAATAACAAGTTGGGGGGGGGGGGGGGGTACGTAGTGGCTCGCTCGATGGGAAGGAAGGAAGGAGTTGATTAATATATGAATCTGGCTCGCTGGGAGGGGAGATCAGGACAGTTTGGAAAGGGAAGATCTGCCACGATTTGCCATCTCTTAGCTCCACGGATTTTTTTCTCTTTTTTATTTATTTATATTTGGTTTGAATTGGACAACTACAACTAGCTAGCAAAGAGAAGATTGTGGTGGAGTTGGCGGTGGCCTGGTGGGATGTTCCTTGGGTTAATTGCACCGGGTGTCACTTAACTCTTATAATTGTTGCACGTTAACCAGTTAACGTAATTTCGTTGCAACTAAACCATGTAAGTCGTATTATGGGTGCACCGTCACCACTTCCGTCATTAGACGTAACGGCAGGTACCGATACTGTAATTTACCATGCCACGCAAGCGTACATGTCAGTATATTTGCTGACTCATTTCAGGCCTCACCAAAACCCTGGGCCCACCTATTTTGGACGTTCCTCCTGCTTTATCTTCTTCAAAACTAACCCAAAAAACAGATTCTCACTTCTTCCCCAAAAACCTAGAACCTTTTCCTACTCATTCTCTCTTCTTCCCCGAAACATCAATCTCTGTTCTTCCCCTAAACAGTCCTTCCCCAAACCTACATTCCCTCTTCAATTGAAACCTTTAATCTGCTCCTGGGTTTCAATTGCAGCTGCCCTGTACGCGGAGGCTCTCTTGTTTCGCCCCCTTCCTCCAAGTTGACAATGGATCTCTTGTCTCCAATAATATGCCCAACCATTATTGTTCCTATACTCCTCAAACGCTCTAACACTCTCCATATGGCCGAACTCGACAAGATATTCATCAAGCTCCAACAAAGATAAGCAATCTGGATCGATCCAATCCAGATATTTAACTTCACCGCCAAAGTAACATATGTCTTCGTGGAGTATATACACTATTTTTCCTTTGTAATGGAGCTCGATTGTGAACTTTTCATCATTGAGTCCTAAGATAACAATCAACATTATAAATGGAATTCCATCAGGTGTTTAACTACCAATATGTTGAAAATTGCAGCAGGTATTGAACTACTAATATGCTGAAACTTGCAGCAAACTGCAGGAGATGATTGAAATTGCAGCAATTTGGTGGAAGGTAACTCACCATATGTCGGAATCCGATCATTGTCTCCTACTTCCCTAATGGTTGGGCTCATGTTTGTAATTAGAACAATAGTGATATAACCAACCTAGTACAACAATTATTTGGATTTTAAAACCTTGGACAAGCTGGCTATAGAACCCAACAAAATAAACACAGAGTTCTTATGAAGAACAGAGCATCACTTCATCTTCTTAAGAATCCATAACCGACTCACCTACTCTGATACATGAACAACCTATCTTCGTCAGATGCTCGTTTCAAATCCCTAGCAACATCACGAAAAGTAAACAGAATATAGAATCTCAGAGGACGAATGACAAAATCGAAGTTGCAGGGGCCGGAGTCATCGCTGAATCGGAAACAAAAGCCAAATACCAAGAGGCGCGGTCCACTGAAGACGGCTCTCGGGAAGTGTTGAAGGTTACTTAGCCCGTCGGAATTTTGAGCATCCGGATTTCATTCACCATCGCCGGAATCAATGATGCGGTTATTCTGTTGCGTCTAATTTCTCTTGTCGTTCCTATTTTCCGTCAGTCAATGGTGCGATTATTCTCCTTTGTTCTCACAATCTCCTTGCTGAACCGGTTAGCTTTTTACCTCACGATCGCCTTTGCTAATTCGGGTTCTCTAAAGAGGAATGGTTTTCCTCTTCAATGTCGAAAATTTTGCAGAGCAGAGAAGAAAGTGCAGGAATACGAGAAGTCGCGGGTTAAACTTGCTCAAATATTTCGTTCAAAATAAGTGGGCCCAGGGTTTTGGTGAGGCCCGAAAACGAGTCAGCAAATATGCTGACATGTATGCTAGCGTGGCATGGCAAATTACAGTATCGGTACCTGCCGTTACGTCTAATGATGGAAGTGGTGACGGTGCACCCATAATACTACTTACATGGTTTAGTTACAACGAAATTACGTTAAGTGGTTAACGTGCAACAATTATAAGAGTTAAGTGACACCCAGTGCAATTAACCCGATGTTCCCTTCCTTTTCCTTTCCTTTCTTCTCTTGTCTTTCTTTACCTTTTCTTTTCTCTTTTCCATTTCATCATTTTTAATAATTTGATTTCATGATTAGTTTAGTAGTGGGTGGGGGTGACCAGACCAGACCACCTTGCTTTTGTTGGTTTTCTTCATTTCATCAATAACTAATATGAATCATTCATTCAGAAAATCCAGATCTAAGGATGGAGAATTAAAGTTCATTTTTATTTTCCCTTGTTTTCTTAATCGGCTCATATCTTCTTCGTTTTAACTCGGATTTCAATTTTTTTGCACAGATGGAACGAGTTCGTTGTGCTCTACAAAACGAGATATATCTTCAATTTTTTTTTAGAGAAAAAAAATTCTTGCCTCTCCGTACCAACTGCATACCATATGGTATCTTCTTCGTTTTAATTTGTTTTTGAAAACGTTTGCACTGAAGGAATGAGTTCATTATGATCTATTGGATCTACAAATTTCTGGGTGAACAAATAACAAGACAAAAAAATACCACCCTGGTACGGGGTGGTATCTTGTGGTACACAATGTCAAAATTCATAAATGACAGTTAATATACTTCTACTATCATGTATTCAACCATCCTACAGTCTTGGTTTGTTCATACAACTATGATACGCTTTTCAAATCATAGGTATGCTCTTATTTCAATACCAGTCAATACCATATGGTATAGAATGGTAAAAAATGGCTCAAATTTTTTTGTTCCAAAAATATATCAAAGTGGATATCATTTTGAAGAGCAAAATTAATCTGATCTAACTGTGCAAAAAAAAAAAGTTAAATTTTGACTTAAAACAAGTGAGAAATCGTCCGTCAAAGATTAAAGAGGGAAAAATTAAAGGCTTTCAACGAAAAAGAGGAATGCTGATGAGTACGTGTTACTCATGATTAGTCACCATAAGGTTACTGCCCTGATCTGTTACCGAGAATTTGGGGAACGGATCAGGTCAGTAACCTTATGGTGAGTAACCATGAGTAACCCGTCCACATCAGCATGACATCAGCATCATTCTCTCTCTTGAAAATCCTTTAATTTTCCCATCCTTAATCTTTGACGGATGATTTCTCACTCGTTTTAATTCTAAATTTAATTTTTTTTGCACAGTTAGATCAGATTAATTGTGCTCTTCAAAATGATATCCACTTTGATATATTTTTCGAACAAAAAAATTGAGCCATTTTTTACCAGTCTATATCATATGATATTGACTGGTATTAAAATAAGAGCATACATGTGGTTTGAAAAGCGTACCAGGGTGGTATGAACAAACAAAGACTGTAAGATGGTTGAATACATGATAGTAGAAGTATATTAACTATCATTTACGACTTTTAACCTTGTGTACCATAAGATACCACCCCATACCAGGGTGATATTGTATGGTATTTTTTGGTCCTGTAATTTGTTCACCTAGAAATTTGTAGATCCAATAGATCATGATGAACTCGTTCATTATGTGCAAATGTTTTCAAAAATGAATTAAAAACGAAGAAAATACCATATGGTATGCAGTTGGAACCGACAGGCAAGAAATTTTTTTTCTAAAAAAATATTGAAAATTGATCTCATTTTTTAGAGCACAACGAACTCGTTCCATATGTGCAAAAAAAATTAAAATCCGATTTAAAACGAAGAAGATATGAACCGATTAAGAAAGTTAGGGAAAATAAAAATCACCTTTAATTCTCCATCCTTAGATCTGAATTTTGTAAATGAAGAGTCTGAATTTAGTTATTGATAGGTGCATGACCCACTCTTAAGTCCGAGAATTTGTGCGTCGACTCTCCTTCCCACTAGGGGTGGGTATTGGTTTGACCAAACCGCTCCAAATCGCCCCAAACCGCTTATGCGGTCAATCCAAACCGCATCATTAAACTAACGTTTCATTTGCGGTCTGATCGTTAATCCTTGGCAGTTCACGGTTCGGATTGACCCAAACCGCTCGTTTGCGGTTTGAAACCAATCCGCTAATCCCTAATGCGCCTAATCTAGGCCAGACGCCTCTTCTCACCACACAACACACGACAACAGCTATTCACTCAGCGAGACGGCGACGACACGACGCCATCTTCTCTCATTCCGCCATCTTCTCTCCACGGCGCCATCTTCCCCAGCTTTGGCGGACTGTCAAATACACCAAGAGGCGGGAGATTTCTAGGATCGAAGGCATCTCGATCTTTCCTATTCTCAGAGCTCTGGTGCTTTGGCCGACTGTCAAAAACACCAGTACCGGCGAGATCAGGTATGCTTTTCTCCTTTGGTTCTATATTTGAATAGTGTGATTTCTTCGAAACCCATATAGTCATGGTTTTCGTCTTCGAAACCCATATAATCAACCTTCGATTCCTCCTGAGAAAGAAGCAATCCATTGAAAGAGGGAACCAAGAAATGCAGTTTGATTACCTTAATGTCCTGACTAGTAACCCCATAATCCAGATTAGGATGCATCAACTTTACCAGAAGAACAGAGCCATGCTTCTCGGCAGAAAGAGGAAAATATACACAACCAAAGTAGCCCATTGAAGCATATGTGAACATGGGGTTACTTACCGGTAATCATCTGAAAGGAAGCAGCACTAGCTGATTTATATACATTCAAACAGAAGCCTACACAAAGAGAAGTAGCAGAAGGTCTTTACGTGGCTCTGCTCTTTCAGGTTTCAGCATATATGGTGGTGTTTTTGGTTAAAGATCACAACATGTTCTGTACAAAATAGAGGGGGGAAAACAAGCACGCCACCGTATAATTCAGATTGGACACATAGAGCCTCGTGCCTTCTCCTCTTCCATCAGTTGGGACGAGCATTGGCTAAACCAGCTCTATTGAAGCCTGCAAAAATTTGGATGGAACAACTTAACTTAATCCATTAACTGAAAACCATCAGCTGGGACCGGATGAATGTGTGCAGATTAGCGTTAATGACAATTCAATGTTCTAACTGTTTTATTTCATATGCTTGCAGGGCAAAATGAAATCAAAAGGCTCGAAGGGAAAACGAGCTCAAGCACCGATATCTAGTAGCAATGTGCTTAATGTCAGTGAGGTGAGTTATGATCAAAAGCTTGGATGTAGATACGGAGGACCTTGGATCTGAAATCTTATATAAAATTTTAGGAAGCTACTCATTTGAATTTGACCCTATCAGTAGAGAGAACGGTGAATTAGTTTGGGGTTGTGGGATAACAGTGAATTAGTTTGTAATGGCCAGTGTGTCATGTTGACAAGTGGGCAATACTCTGTTGATTCTTCACTAAAGGTGTTGCATTCCAAAACCCTCCAGAAAAGTTAATATAGTTTGGGTTCTTGATATCCAGTCCCTTCATCTGCTTTCGTTCCCATTCTTTGGTTGCGATGAATGCATGCTTTGATCTCATTTACTCTATTATTGTTTATGCTAACATGATTCTAAATTTGTATGCCCTGTTCTCATTTACTCTATTATTGTTTAGGCCGAGTGTGATGATGTTGGAATGGATTCCTCAAGTGGGGAAGAGATGGAAATCGAAAATGATGCAAGTACGAGCAAGGTGGCTGCTAGTGATCATATTGGTTCAGCTTCGACTCATATTGAGTCACCAATGCCAAAAGGGAGGCGGCTTAGATCAAAAGTTTGGGTCCAATTCAGGAGGTATAAGAAAGACGACTTATTCAAGGCATCATGCATCAAATGCGGGAAGACTTATGCATCTAAATCACATACAAATGGAACTAGTGCACTCCGCCATCATATGAGTAAACCGTGCGGTGATGGAAAGGCTCAACAACTATTGAATACTATTAGAGGTGAATTAGATGATGGGGATGGATCTGTGTTAGGGAGTTGGAAGTTTGATCAAGCAGCTATAAGGAAAGGATTGACTTATATGATCATTGTGGATGAATTGCCTTTCCGATTTGTTGAATATTTGGGTTTCAAATACTTTATGTCACTTGCTTGTCCTAGATTCTGCATACCTTCTAGAAGAACAGTGACTAGTGATTGTTGGAATTTTTATCTTGAGTTGAAACAAAAGTTGAAGGATGTCTTTAGCAACTGTGAAGGTAGAGTTTGTCTGACTACAGATTCATGGACTTCCAACAAACAATTGAACTTCATGTGTGTGACAACTCATTTTATTGATAGAAATTGGATATTAAGGAAAAGGATAATTGGTTTTCGCCAAATCTTTAGTCATAAGGGGGTGGATATTGAAAGTGCAATTATGTCTTGTTTGGATGAATGGGGAATAGATAAAATTTTCACAATCACCGTTGGCAACGCTAGTTCAAATGATACTGCAATAGAAGAATTGAAGAGCATATTTGATGATAGAAAGATTGGCATGTGTGATGGCAAATTTCTTCACATTAGGTGTGTGGCTCATATAATGAATCTAGTTGTGACGGATGGATTATCTAAGATATCTGTGGCTGTAAAAAGAAGGCTATGCCAGAAGAAGGGGAATTAGTTGCATGTCGCTGGTTTTTGTGTGGGACTAGCAAGTAGGGGATCTGATACTACTTAACAAACCTATTATGGTACTAGTACTTGAATTTCAGAGTTAAGAAGGGTGAGGTTCTGGTTGTGAACTGTTTATTCAGGCTGAGAAACTTGTTGGATGAAACCGTGGAGGGATGATTTTATATTGTTTATAGCTGTAGGTAATGGGTGCTCTGTTTTTGTTTGACAATCTACTAAACTCAGTTTCTCTATCACTCATCAGCAGAATGGTTGTTGAAGTTTTGGACAGATCAATATTGGATCCTTGCTATTGAAGTATTGGACAGAACTCGTATTACTTCTCTTTTTGCTGAATTCTTTTTTGTGTTCAATTTTTCACATTGTAGGATTGCTCTGTTTCAGTGATGGATACAGAGTCATGTTGTTTAATAAATTACAAATCATATTGAATTGCGGTCAAAATGCGGTGCGGTCTAAACCGTACCAAACCACTAATTTATGCGGTTTGGTTTGACCGCACCGATAACTTAGCGGTCAAACATGCGGCGCGATCCAATTAAGATACGGTGCGGTGCGGTTTATATGAATGCGGTGCGATGCGGTCCGAACCGCACCGATTCCCACCCCTACTTCCCACTATCCTAATACCTACCTTCCCAACTGCTCACTCTTCACTTCTCCCCACTCCCACCAAGCTCGCACCTTCTTCTGCACCCATGTAAGTTTTCCGCTCTTCTCTTCGCCATTCCCCGTTTCTTTCTCTCGTTATGATTGCCCTGAAAATTCTGCTATTCTTCATCGTTACCCGCTTCTTTTTCTTCCGGTGCCAATTCTGACGAGGGTTTTTGGGGTGGCAAATTGAAATGATCGCATTGCTTTGTTTTGATTGTTCATGTGCTTGCCTCCGTGTAGTGGAAGAGTTTCGGCTGCCGCGAGAATGGAGGGTTCCAAAGCTGCTCCAGCCAAGACGCTGCCGCTGGGATTAGACCCAACAATGGAGGAAGAGTACGCATCGCAGTCCAAGTTGCTCGGAGAGCTCGCTAGCATCTCGAGCATTGACAAGGCGTGGACTTTCAAGTCTGAGAATGGTTGGACGACTCTTTCTTTGACTACCCATTTCAGGATTTGTTTGCCGTCTAATGATTTTCTTTTTTGTTTTTTCGCCAATTGACGTGAGATGTTTTGATGCAGGAATTGGGTCTCAGGCAATGTTTGCAATTAGCCAAGCGAATCTTCTGGCAAATAAAAGGAGGAAATCCATTCTGTCTGCTAATGTTTCCAAGGGAAGTAACAGTTCAGTGTGCTTTCAGTGGGCACCTTTTCCTGTTGAGATGACTGGTGTAGCTACAATGCTTCCATCCCCTTCAGGTTCCAAGCTTCTAGTGGTCAGGAACCCAGAAAGCGGGTCACCTGTTCAGTTTGAAATCTGGAGTCAGTCTCACTTGGAAAAGGAGTTCCAGATTCCACAGTCTGTTCATGGATCAGTGTACACTGATGGCTGGTAGGACAATGTGTTAACTTTACTGAGTTTGTTCTTTCATAAATATGTGTTTGGACGCTGAAAGCTTTGTTACTGTTTCAGGTTCGAGGGGATCTCATGGAATTCAGATGAAACTCACATTGCATATGTCGCTGAAGAGCCAACTCCTGCCAAGCCGACATTTGATGGTCAAGGGTATAAGAAATGTGGTTCTGAAGAAAAGGATTGTGGTAGCTGGAAAGGCGTAGGGGAATGGGAGGAAGAATGGGGAGAGACATACGCTGGGAAAAGGCGACCTGTGATCTTCATTATTGACATTAACAGGTTTTGTTTTTTGTTCTCAGGCTTTAATCACCGACCTTTGTTTGAGAGTGAGTTTGGAGGGAGTGCTCCAGTAAATTCATTTTGGTAACTAAAGTACTTCCAATTTTGTCCAGTGGAGAAGTTCAGCCTGTCAAAGGAATATCAAAGCATTTAAGCGCTGGCCAAGTTGTTTGGGCTCCTTCAACTGAAACCTCACCTCAATATTTGGTCTTTGTTGGGTGGTCATCGGAAACCAGGAAACTTGGCATAAAGTACTGCTATAATAGGCCTTGTGGCTTATATGCTGCAAGAGCACCTTTTTTTGGATCAGATGCTAAAAGAGAACAGAAGTGGGTACCTTGTTTTGGTAATTTATCACATTTAACTCATGTCGTTCTGAAAACTGAGTTGTCTGACTGACATGTGATGTGATGCTCAAGAGAGATTGCAGAGGAAGATTTATCGGTGCTTAATGTAACTCAAGGCATCAGTAGTGCCTTCTTCCCTGTCTTCAGGTATTCAAATCACTTACTTATCTCTTTAAGGAAGTAGATATGTCAGATAGAGGTATGACTAGAGTTGCTGCTGATTCCATGGACTTGCATTTCTGTTACCTGTGCTTTTGATCCAGCCCAGATGGAAAGCATCTACTCTTCTTATCTGCTAGAAATTCTGTGGATTCAGGAGCACATTCAGCAACTGAATCACTTCATCGAATAGATTGGCCTGCTAATTTACAGGCACTCTCATCTGCAAAAATAGTTGAAATGGTAATAGTTTGGTGTGGGTATTTGGCACAGAGTCGTGCAAATCAGAAGTTCTGGTTAAAGGGAATCGTTTGGTGGGTATCTTAGTTCGACATGATTCTTGCAGATCTCAGTGGTGCAGTGTCCAGAGGACGGTGGCTTTCCAGGGCTGTACAATGGCAGCTTTCTTCGGAAACCTTGGCTTTCTGATGGAACCACTATAGTGTTGAACTCTGTGTGGGGCAGCAGTGAGGTTATACTGTCTGTGAACATTTCAAGGTGATTACAAAATATACTGTTCTTGTCTGATATATGTATAGATCTTTGTGCTCTTTTCTGTCATTAATCCTTGTTTTCATTGCCAAATATCAGTGGAGATCTGACGAGAATCAGTCCTTCTGACTCCAATGCTGCTTGGCGTGCTCTTACACTGAATGATGACAACATAATTGCTGGTACTGTGGTACACTCAATTTCTTAGTATTAACATTCCCTGTTTGTGTCGAGGGAATTCGACATAAACTACTAACATAATTCCTTTTCTATTTTTCTCAAGTCTCAAGCAGCCCCGTAGATCTTCCTGAAATCAAGTATGGTTATAAAGAAGTCCAAGGTGATGCTTGGAATTGGTCAAGCGTTCGAAGTCCCATGATTAAATGCTCTGAAAGGGTGCACTCAATAGCTTCTCCATAAATAAGTTTCATGTATGCTGAGTTCTCTATGATCTATTTATTTATTATGTCTCGAGGTTGAACCTATATGCACTGCAGGTTAAATCACTGCTCTCTTCTCGGGAGTTCAACATTCTGAAGATCCCAGTCAAGGATGTGTCTGCTAACCTGACAAAAGGTACTCCAGCCAATATAAGCTTGATTTCTAACCAAGTCTATCATTCACCCTATAAACTTCTGCTGGAACAGATTGGAGACATGCCTTCAAGTAACTGAAAACTCTATTTTTGGATTCCTGCCTGACTTGTAGTGTACAGAGAAAAGTGGACTAACTCTTGGCCATCCATATCACTATATCAGTTAGGCTTGCTGACAAATGAATGCTCTCCGTTCATTTCAGGAGCAAGTAAACCGTATGAAGCTATACATGT